TAAAAAAATCTGATATTTTATTTCATGGCTAAGCTAAGGAACCATGGAAAAATAATTTTAAAATTGGTGTGTTAAGAAGACTGGCTTTGAAAGATGAAACGTGCTCAGATGGGAAGTAGGAAGAGAGATTAGTAGGAAGGATATATGTTCCTCTGTATATAAATCTTGATCTTTCCACGGGTTGGTTTTATCCCACCAGGGTCTGGGAAGAGTGCAGGAAGGGACCCCACCCAAGTTTATTCTTGAACGAATTAAAATTCAAAAGCTCCGGGCATTGAGCTGTGTGGATTGTGAATGTCTGGAAACCAGCATATTTTTTCCTCTCTGAATTGCCTTCTGTTTAGACAGGGCTTAGTGAAACCAGCAGCTAAACCGAGGAGAATTCTGCCATTTTTAGAATGAGGAGCCATACAACTTCAGTGCTTCAAAGCGGGTGACGCAGGCCCAGTAATTCAGACCGGGCGCAGCAGAAAGCAGCCTTCTGTCCTGCCCCAACTCCCCCAGCCCACGTCTAGGCCCCCTCCTTCAGCCACACCTTTTGCTTCCCAGGTTCAGTTCCCCCAGATGTAACAGCCTTCGATTTCCTATAGCGTCTGTGAGCTGCTGGCCTGCCAAGCTGGCTTCTTCCAGGTGGATGCATGTTCTGTTCCCCAGAGCCATGTCCTCGGGGCATTCGGAGGCTGAGTGGGCGTGCCCGGGAGCAGCCCCCTGTGGGGCCCGCAGCCTTTGTGTGTGTGCAGGAACAATTCTTCCTGGGAACACAAGAGACTGAAGGTCCCACCCCACCCCTCCACCCCTACTTCCTGCACTTCTCAATGGCAGGGGTGTGACCTGGGGGGTCCCTGCGCAGCCCCTTATCTCCACGTCCCCTCCCCCCTTCTCCTGATTTTGTGGGAGAGGCTTTCCTGCCTGCTGTGGGCAGGGCAGGCCAAATGCAAGTTTTCCAGGATGTGGGCATGGCACATAGGTGGGTCTGCACACCCAGATCCCAGGCCTGTATGTTTGGGAAGTGCCTTAGGGAGAAACCTCCACTGGACCTCTTTATGTCATTTTCTAAAAGAAAGAATCAGGTTATAGTAACTGTGGTGTCTTTTATGCACAGAGATAGCACTCCAAAAAGTGCAAATAACTGACGTGAGCTGTGGTCCAGTGCCCGGTGCATCTGGCCACTGCCTCTTGGGAAAGTCCCCGTAGCCCAGGCCTGGCCCTGATGGTCACCTTGGCACCCTGGGGTGTCAGTTTACCTGTGGTGTGGCCTTGTTCCCTTTACAATGCGCTTTCTTAGGTCGCACCTCACTTATTCGGGATTACTGACTACCCAGCAGGCTCGGGCAATGTGATTTTTTTCTTTTTTAACTGCCAAGGAGCAGGCGGGGCTGGACCAGAGCTTGGGGCTCGGGCGGCCGTACGGGGCAGCGGGCTGCCTCTCCAGACATGATTGATGAGGGACAGCTCTGAAGTCTGCGAAGGATGCTCACCTCAGTTCTTCAGAGGGGTGTGTGTGGCTTTGAGAGAGAGCACTTCGCCTACGGAGGATGGGTTTGAACCCAGACAAGGCAACGTTATGGGCCTGGCCTCCCGGGCTGGGCCGTCCCGGCTGTGGCTCAGGGGCTCCTCTTGGGTTTTGGGGGACAGTGAAGGGTCATGCCTAGGGCTGGGCAGGGATTGAAGAACTGGATCTGCATATTCTCCTGGGGCCCAAGGGGAGATGGAATTGCCCAGGGTGGGCTCAGCCACTCTAGGTTTGGAAAGCCCAGAACAGTCCACCCAGCAGGTCCTTGCTGTGCTCACACCCACCCTCAACCTTGACCTCTGCAGTTAGTTGTGGCACCGGGTGGAGAACCCAGTGCACAGAATGCAAGTCCTTTCCAATCAGGGCTGGGGTGGAGGTCAGGGAGCCTGACAGGTTGGAAGAGAGAAGGAGGCAGGGCTGGAAGGTTGGGGGTGGGTGGGACAGAGGTCCAAATCGAAGCAGGTTGGGGGTTCAGTACTTCGTGTCAGGTGGGACGGAACAGCACGTATGCACCCCTGTCCTCAGCACGCACAGGTGCCTGGCACAGGGCTGGTGTTGGGGGCGCTGAGATGAATGAGCTCATCTTTGTGCTGAGTAGACTGTGAGATGAACAAACACGTTTTATGATGAGCAGAGGGTCCCCTGTACCTTTACCTGCAAGGTCACCTTGACCGAGGAGCAGAGGAGGGTTCTGGAAGGCTGTGGGGGGCTTGGAATGTGCAGCTGTCTAATCCGGGCCCGTCCGTGGAGCCTTCCTAGGCTAGAGTCCTATAACTTCCCCGTACCCTCCCAGAGGTTGTGGGGTTGGACGGGGTGATCCTCTCCCAAAGTAAGAGGCTGATCCCAGGGTCACGCAGGATCCTGGGAGGCCGGAACATTGCCTGTCTTCTCCTTGAGAGGGATGGGTTCCAGTCAGGAGCCCCCAGTGGTGTGAGTCCCGTTTTCGGGCATCCTGAGAAGGCAGGTATAGTCCCTGGGGTTTCAGAACCTCAGAGCCGGTGGGATGGTGCCTGCTCTCTGTGCGAGCCTCGCCCTCCGACCTCTGATGAGGCACGTCCCTATTTGGGGAGCCAGGAGCTGGCCTGTGATGGTGCCCAGTCGCTGCCTCCTTGGTGGCCGAGGCAGAAGTGACAGTAAAAAGGCTTCACTTCGCGGGCCTTTCTCCTGGGGCCGGGAGCTCCCCTTGCGTCTGTGGCCACCTCAGAAACCCTGGGTCCGCTCCTGGCACGGAGTGTGGGGACGAGGCGGAGAGAGACGCTGACATGTTCTTACCTACCCCTCTTCAGTGTCGCTCGCACGGGAGACCTTGAGACCCGTCTCTTCTTTAAAGCATGGAAGATTCCGACGTAGTCCCTATTCCTGTCGTAGACGTCTGAGGCCGGACGGGTGCCCTGCCCTGCAGTTTCGTTCAGTTTGGGGGCATCTGAGTTTCCTTTCTCTGCTTTATTTGCTCGGGAGTGACAAGTGGGTGTTTAGCCCCCAGTGTCGGCGAGTGGATATGCTTTTTCCAGACTTTCTAGGTTGCATATAACCGTGCAGGTTGGGGCGTTCCGCTCCTTGTGCCATAGGGTGTAGGGATTATGATTACTTTTTATTGTTTCTTGCCATCCTACAACTGGATGCAGGACCTATCTGTGACTTTGTTGGTGTTGTTTTTTTTTTGTTTTTTAATATATTTTTATTGATTTCAGAGAGGAAGGGAGAGGGAGAGAGAGATAGAAGCATCAGTGATGAGAGAGAATCATTGATCGGCTGCCTCCTGCACATCCTACACTTGCATGTGCCCTGTGGGGGAATCAAACCGTGACCTCCTGGTTCATAGGTCGGGTCAACCACTGAGCCACACGGGCTGGGCTATCTGTGACTTTGCACATGCCCCTCGCCCAGCCCCGGGGTGAGATTGTGCGGAGAACAAGCAAGTTGTGCTGGCCCCGGGCTGCTCTGGGGCAGGGCAGGCCTGCTGAGTTCTCCTGGTTACCAGGACCCCGCGAGGAGCCGCTTAGCCCTCTGCAGGGAGGACGAGTAACTCGCTTGACATTCCGTAGTAATTTAGCAGCGGTTAATGGCCACTTACTGGAAAATGTTACCAGGCTCTGCGGTGAGTGTTGTTAGGAAGTGAATTACTCTGGACGTGTCCCCAGGGCCCTTCCCCTTCTCCTCCAGCAGAGCTGGGCTGCAGGAAGTGGCACTGTGTTGCAATCCCGGCTTCACTGTTCCCTTGTATTATTTATTTTGTTTCAGATTTAAGGAGATTGTGTATTTATGTAGAAAAGTTTCCAAAGTAAGTATGTTGCTTTTCATGGTACCAGAGGCTTAGAGCCCAAGGGGGTGAGGGGTGTCCCCTGGGTTATTTTGCTGGCTAGCCCCCACCCGAAGGTGCCCAGGGGCAGCCGTGAGCCAGTGTCCAGCAACGTCAGGGTCACCTGTCATTTATCTGAGTCATCTGAGCTGAACATCTCTCCATGTCTTTACACATGTCCTGAGTGCAGACGGCTGGTTGCTTCCTGGCTGTTGTGCAATCCCTCACTTTGCAAAACCTCGGATGGGCCGCAGAGATGACAGCCTGTGGCTTTTTGAGCCTGCCGAGCCTGGGGTAGAATTTTGGCTTTGCCGTTGACTAGCTGTGTGACCTTGGACAGTTCACTCAGCCTCTCTGAGCCTCAGGGGTGTTACCTGTCAACAGGTAAATGGCGATACGGGCTCTCAGGGATGAAGGATATGTGCCATGGTGTGAGTCGACACAGGGCCAGGAACATGCTAGCACTTTCCCTTGCCAACTTCAAAATGAAACAGCCCCCTTTGGCAGGGTGGAGCGTTGGGAGCTGAGGGAGTGGGGAGCAAAGAGCTCATCCTTTGGTTTTCTTTTGACCTGGACCGGTCCCCCCCCCCCGCCCCCCTTTTCCTTGTGCGGGACGAGGAAAACGGGGTGGCAGTGTATAGTGTCACTGCACGCCACCAGTGATGGTGGAACGGGTCCCGGGGCAGGTATGGGGGTCCCCTCCTTCTGCAGATGGGCTCTCGTGGCCGGTTTGGGTAGCGTGGAGGGAACCATATTGCCTCCAGCCGTATGGAGTGTCTTTTCGGAGGCTTGGTCGTCTGCATGCTGGGAGGGCGACATCATTCCATGTCTGGGCCATGTTTTCAGCTCCTCCTTCCTGCTGGGGCTCTCGGTCCTTCCTAACTAACGTTAATGAGATCGTTGTCACCCGCCTCCCATTCCATCACCATGGCTGCTGCTGCTCTCTCCCCACATGCACGAGGACGCCCTCTGGGGCACTTGGCAGCCTCGCTCCCTGATGGCACCAGAGTCTGGATTTTCGTGGTCGGGCGGGTTCCTGAGACTTCCCTGCCGTGCCTCAGGCTGGACGGTGTCCCGGGGCCCAGCCCGCAGCAGCACCCGGGGAGGGGGCCCGCTTGGCCGCCCCGCACACGACTGGCACACACTGACCAGGCTGTGGTTTGCTCTCTCTCCTCCCGCCCCCTCCAGAGTATAAGAAGAAGTACGGAGAAGAACACGGCTCCTGCCAGGCTGGGATCGCAGGCTTCTTCACCGAGGTGGGTGTCATCCCGTCCTAGGCATACAACATGCTACCTGGGCTTTCTTCTAGCACAGCGGTTCTCAACCTGTGGGTCGCGACCCCTTTGGGGGTCCAACGACCCTTTCACAGGGGTCGCCTAAGACCGTCGGAAAACACATAATTACATATTGTTTTTGTGATTCATCACGATGCATTAATTATGTTCAGTGTGTAACAATGAAAATACATCCTGCATATCAGATATTTACATCACGATCATAAGAGTAGCAACATTACAGTTATGAAGTAGCAACGAACATAATTTCATGGTTGGGGGTCACCACAACATGAGGAGCTGTATTAAAGGGTCGCGGCATTAGGAAGGTTGAGAACCACTGTTCTAGCACTTTGGTAGACCGGAAGAACGCGTATCTTTAATGCACCTGGATTTCTTTTTGCAGACGTTACGTGGTAGACATGAACTCTGCGGGTTTCCTAAGTGTGTAGTGGATTGTTCTGATACTGTGTGCTGAACTGTTTCCTGTCCCCTTTGGTTTGCAATACCATCCTGTCATGTGCCAAGGTTACTCTCTTCTGTCCCAGGAAGCGCTCAGATTGTGCAACTTCTATGTCCGTCCCTCCTCCAGGGAGGTCTAGTGTCCCTGTAGGTGACAGGGACCCACTGTCTGTTCAGGAGCAGGTGATGACACATGGATGGCCATGTTGTGAGAGTGGCTGCGTGGGCTGGGTGTGCCCAGGAATTTGGAAGTGGGAGGCCCTAGAGGGAGGCCAGGTAGGGGGCTGTGATGGGGTCCAGCCCCGAAGCAACGGTGCAGGCTAGGGAGACCTTTAGGGATGAGAAGGATGCGGGGAGTTGGAGAGTATGCAGGCAGTACCAGTGGGCTGGGTGGGCAGAGGGCGTGGGGAGAAGAAGCTTTCCAGCCAGGGCTCTGGAGCCTGGTGTGCGGGGGAAGGGCCCCCCAAGGAGGACTCAGTGGGATGGGTACCCTGAGGGTCTGCTTCACACACGGGCTAAGTGAGAGGATGAGGCACACGCATAGATGTTTTCAGAAGGTGTTTGGGTAGAGGGGCCCGTGTCCGCCTGAGTTAGAAACTTGGATCTGGCCAGTGCTAGTTACTGTCTGAGGGACTGCGTGTGCTTAGCGTGGAGGCCGAGGGTGCGGGGAGGATGCCTCCTTTCGATGGGGGGCAGGGAGAAAGTAGCCTCATCGCAGACCTGAGAACTCATCAGAGATGTTGATGAAGAGCTAAGCAGGGGAGAGAGTCCCCGGTGAGGGGGCATCATGGTGGTCTCATCAGCCAGGAAGTTGGGGGAGGACATGAGGGCACTGGGGCTGGGCGGGAGGGGGGCACCGTAGGAGGAGCAGGCAGGGCGGGGCAGGGTGTGGAGGGGAAACCCAGGTGGCGGGGTGAGCTCAAGGCGGGCAGGGGAACAGGGACCTGTGAAAACTCCAGGCTCTGGAACCCCGGTGCCTCAGCATGTGCCGGCTGCGCTGGAGCCCCCAGCAGTGGGGCCTTGGTGCATGGGGGAGGGGGGGGGCGGGGGGAGGGGGAGGGGGGGGTAGGGGGGGAGTGGCAGCGACCGAGGCTCAGTTCTCTGACCTGGTCATGCTGTCTCCTGGCCACTCGGGGCTTTGGCCTGTGCTTCAGTTCCCAGGCTTGTGGCCTCTCTGAACTGGAGGTCTTTGAACTCCCTGCCTCCCTCGTTTCTGGAACCTCAGCTGTCGCAGGCTGAGCAGGAAATGTGGTGGAAGGGGTCACACGGCGCTGCTCCCTTCCTCTGCCCTCCTGCTGACCTCGTCGCTTGGGCCTGCCTTTGCCGTGAGCTGGGAGGCCCCTGCACGGGGCCGGCAGCTGGCCCCAAGCTGGATGTGCTTCTGTGGCCTCCAGGCATGGCCCTGTGGCCCTGACGCACTCTCCCCCAAAGTGCCTGCCTGACCTGGGGGCCGGTGACCCTGGGGTTATCCAAGCTGAGTCAGTTATGGATACCACGGGAGTTTTCACCGGCCATTGGGGATAAGCGGGGGTTTCCTGGGAACTTCATTGATTTTTGTAGCTTAGAGGATGGATTCCTCTAAGTAAGAAAAGACGTGGACCGGCCCCGCCAGCGTCAGAGCCCACGGTGGAAGCGGGGAGACACCTGGGGGCAAGGCTGTTCGGCACAGACTTCCATGGTTGAACCCGAGCATTCCTCTGCCGTCCAGCTCCCTCCACTGTGCCGTGTGCAGAGGAAACCCCGGCCTCTCTCAGCACCCCCAGACACCCCTGTGCCCTGAGGTTCTGCGATCAAGGCCCACTCTGTTCATTGATGGGGCTCCACACGCAGCTCCTGGGGAAACGGGCATGTCTGTGGGTGACATTCGCCTTGGCTGGTCCTGGGGGGTGGGGAACTAAAGCATCAGTAACTTGCGGGCAGTGCCAGCAGATACAGGCATCACCTGCACTGAATGGAAAAAGCCAGAGATGAGGGACTTCCAGGATGAGGCACTGCTCCTCTCCTCCCTCCCCCTGGGGAAGGCAGGAGTGAAGGGCTCAGCCCGGCACCACTGGATGCACGGATGCAGTGGGCGCCTTGCTTCCCTCCGCCCATCAGCCTCCTTGCGGCCTGGGCTCCCTTTCAATGCCTGTGCAGTGTCCTCCCGGGAACACATTTTGCATTTTCGTTTTTTGTTTGTTTGCTAATCCTTCCCCGAGGATATTTTTTCCATTGATTTTTAGAGAGAATGGGGGGAGGGGAAGAGAGACAGACAGACACATAGATTGGTTGCCTCCCGCACCATCCCCTGCCCCCCTCTTCCCCCCCAGGCCCAGCCCTGGATCAAACCTGCAACCCAGGTGCATGCCCTTGACTGAGAATCGAACCCGAGACCCTTCCATGCACGGGCTGACACTCTAACCACTAAGCAATACTGGCCAGGGCCCATTTTGCATTTTCTGAGATGACTTCATTGTCAGTGTTTAATCATTGTTCTAGAAATTTGAGAAAACGCTGAGCAAATAAACCTCTGGGATAAAAGAGAGAGAAAAAAAAAAAAATCAAAAAAGGCGGCTTCCTGAAATCCTGTCTGTCACCCGGTGGAAAAACCACACGTGGTTTGGAGCTTACCCTTCTGGCCTCGGCCTGTCTGTCTGTCTGTGTACACTCTTCTTTTATAAGCCTGCTCGCGGCACGGGTGTTGTTTGGTGTACTCTCTCACGCTCAGAGCACCGTGTGACTCTGTGCCATTGGATCGCCTGCGGTATTTTTATGGCCGCAGAATCTGTCGAATGGACGTGCCGTGACTTAGAATCCCGATGGGAGCTGTCCCCGTTAGCACAGTTTTCCAACTTCCGTTAGCACAGTTCCGCCTCTTCTTGTGGGTAAGACCGTGCGGGTTTCCGTGCCGCCCTCCGTGGGTCACCGAGTCACCTCTGAGCATAGAGTTGTCCCCAGCGTCGGCCCCTGGGTGGTTTCTGGCCCATTGCTGCCAATGGAAATGCGGGAGACAGATGTGTCTTAGTGTGTCAAGGCCAGCTTACAAGAGTAGCGCTGCCCTGCCCGAGCAGTGGTTAGAGCACCGGCCCCCGGACTGGAAGGTCGTGAGTTCGATTCCTGGCCAAGGGCAAGTACCTCGGTTGTAGGCTCGATTCCATGCCCTGATTGGGGCACGAGCGGGAGGCAAGCAGGCAATGTGTGTCTCTCACATCGATGTTTCTCTCACTGTGCCTCTCCTTCTTCCTTCCACTCTCTAAAAATCAATGGAAAAAATATCCTCGGGTGAGGATTAAGCAACCAACCAACCAAACAAACAAAAAGCAAATGGTAATGCTGTCTCTAGCTGTCCGTGCTCTCTTCTCTTTCCAGTCTGCGTCCTTCCCTTAGGCGGGGCTCGCTGCTCTCTGGATGTCATCCTTCTGGGCTTGCAGGGGCCACAGTGGCCAGAACACCCAGCTTCAGAGCCGTTTCTGAGACGAGAGGCCTGAGTGAAGACTGGAAGGGATTTCCTGCCTATTTTTTTGCAAAGCTGATGTTGGTCCGTGTTTTTCTCCTGCTCGGTAGCGGGCAGGTGCGGTTGCTGGATAGCGGAGCTGGAGGCCTGGCTGGAGACGGGGGTGGTATCTTTTCCCGAGCATCGCTCCCTGGAATTCGGGCAGTGTCCGATCTTTGCCATTTCCTTGTTTGATCCTGGTGGGAAAGTGAGGACAAGATGTGAGGCTTCCTCTGTGGGTAGGACAGAGACCCAGTTTGTTACTCGTCTTGTCCACGTGCTCAGTTATCTTGGTCTCTATTCCCGGAAGCCCTGTCCGTATATAGACTCCATAACGCCAGGGAATTGGGCGACATCGTTTTCGTATTGCTCAGCTGAAGAGAGTCCCCGGTGAGTTGTCTTGAATTGACTTATGAGTTCCTTGTGGTGATGGTGCCTACTTCCCCCTTCAGCTTCTTTTCTGATCACCTTTGGGTTTCTCTCCGGCAGGAGCTGGTGGTGATGGGCGCCCCGGGGTCGTTTTATTGGGCTGGGACGGTCAAGGTGCTGAACCTGACGGACAACACCTACTTCAAGCTGAATGACGAAGCGATCATGAACAGGCGGTACACTTACCTGGGTGAGTAGCTCAGGGAGGTGACAGGTGACAAGGGACACAGGAGCGATTGCCACGACGTTCACGAATTATTACTTTACTGGGGGCAAAAAGGATTTGCCGGCGTTGACACCCATACTGATCAGTTACAATTTTAGCTACAGTCCCTTACCATCCAGCCTCACATATGGAGGAGAAACAAAGCAGGGAACTGAATTCAAACTGTGATTTGATTAAAAAGCTGGCACTTGAGCCTCCGGGGAAGCAAACGTTTTATTTTCTTATTCTAGCAGTTACTCACGTTCAAATGATCAGATACAAAATGGGTGCAATAGAACCCCGGTTTTCCATGCCGTTCCTTTGGGCGAGGTCTCTGCCTCTGGGTCACAAAGATGGTTGCAAACAGAGATAATCAGAACCAAAAATTATCACGATGGATAGCAGCCTAATGCTGGGGTTTGATCAAAGGCTCAGAAAGATTCCTCCTGTTTTCTCAACCTTTTTAATCTTCTAGAAAGAAGATAGACACAGCTTAAGTGAGCAGCCAGCCACCAGGCAAGAATGTGGCCCGGCGTGATCATGTCTCTTTAAGAACAGGGTAGACTGTCTTTGGTTGTGTACATGGACATTCTACATGGCTTTTCTTTAATTCAGGCCCTAACTGCTGTCATTCTGGACTGAAAAGGAAGCTAACTTTAGGCCCAATGCTGAGAAAGCAACGATCTTTGCATACATTACCCATAAGTTAGATCTGGGGGAGTCCCGTCCCCTTTTCACAGAGATTCACTTGTGAGAAGGCAGTAGAGGGTTGTCCACTTGCCTTTTCCCCTCTAACTGCAAGGTTTTCCCCAGTGAATAAACCATAAAACCTTTATTCCGAGTCCTCGGGGTGTTCGCTGCCCTGTGCTCCAGCTCCTCAGTCCTGTCATTTATTGAGCACCTACTGTGCACCAGGCTCTGCCTGTTATCGCTTTTCATTCCCGAAACAGCCTTGTAAGATAGCTGTTATTTTCCACCCACATTTTATAGCGAAAGAAACAGGTACGGAGAAGTTACGGAGTAGCCAAGGTCACATGGCTCTTCAGTGGCAAAGTGGGGGTTTAATTAAAACCCGTGGTTTCCGAGGTCAAGGTCTGGACCCTGAGCCGCCTCCCCTGTGCCTGCCAGGGAGATACTGCCGACCCTCGCCGGGCTGGGAGCACCTTGGCGGTGGGGCGTTTGTCTCACATTTCCAGGACTCAGCACTGTACCTAGTGCTTCGTAGGGACTCGACCCGTGTTTACTAGGTCAGGAAGTGACAAGAAGGCCGGAGAGAGGCTGGTTTGGCGGTGGCTGTAGGGTCCAGGCTTGGGGCTGGTGGCTTCTCCCTGCATACGGAACAGAGGCCCCATCTGCTGCCGGCTTCGCAAGGCTCCCCGGAGGCTTTGCTCTCTGTCACTCAGAATACTCTTGGGTAACATGAGCCTCCAGTCTGAGAGAGAGCAGCCACATGGTGAATAAGAATTGACCCTAATGTGGTCTCATCACAAAGCCCAAAGAGCTTATGGGCACAGCTTAGGTCTGAGGTTGATGACAAGGTTTGAGGACTCTATGGCACAGGGTTTCTGGGGGCCGGAGGACACAGGTTTCAGCCTGTCAGCAGGGCTTCTAGAAGGTGCAGGAAACATTTAGACTAAACTCAGACAACTTTTTCCTTTCTTTCTAGATTCCTTTTGTATCCAGATTCATTGCCTGCCCACCCACCCATCCGCCCGTCCATCCATCCATCCATCCATCCATCCATCCCTATTAGTGTCTTCCTGCATTCTCTTAGGAGGGAGTGTGGCCTAATGGTCAACAGCAGGGGCTTGGGAGGCACACAGATTGGATTTGAATCTTACTGTGTGGTCATGGGAATCTTGCTTAATCACATTTTAGTCCCACTTTCCACATCTCTAACATGGAAGAAATAATCATATCTTTCCCCTAGAGTTGGGAGGTTAAAGGCCATGATGACATCCAAAGTACACGTGCAAGCTGTTCATAATAGCCCCAAAGTGGAGGCAAACCAAATGCCTAGCAATAGGGGGGGAAAAAGATACTGTGATATATTCATGCAATGAAACATTAATCAGCAATAAAAAGAAACGACCACACTCAACATGGATGGGTGTGACAGTTATGTTGAGTGAATGAAGTTCTAGACCAGGAAGACATAATGTGTAGTGATAGAATTCTGAAGCATGGCTATTTGTGAGGGGGCATTGACTGGGAAAGGGCATGAGGGACTCTCCTCAGTTGTGTTTCCATGGTTACATCCACTCTGGGTGGCGATTACATGGTTATATACATGTATACACATTCATTAAGTTCTACACTTCAGATGTGTGTACTGTATGAACATTCAAAAATATGTCAATAAGAAAAAGAAAACAGACCTGGAGTATGTAGCCCAGTACCGTCCCAAACAGACAGTCAGAGTCCGCTCTTTCTTGCCCTGATGTCCTGGCGAACATGTCTTTGTGTGAGACGAGTTATTCCTGCATGAGAAGACCAACAGCTGCCATTGGGTCCAAGACTGGCTGGATAATAACTGCCTAGATGAGGGTTACTTGAGAAACGTCTTCCTCTGATGGATCTCTCTCTTCCCTGACATTGTTTCTCAACCCTGCCCTTGGCGTCTGCCCATTCCTTACAGGCTATGCGGTTACCGCCGGCCACTTCTCTCATCCGTCCACCACCGATGTGGTAGGAGGCGCCCCCCAGGATGAAGGCATTGGGAAGGTGAGGAGAAGAGCCTTTGGAATAGCAGGGGGTCAGACAGAAGGGAAGGGGGCACACTGTGGCTGTTACAGGGGTTTGTCACCTCCCTTGGATCTGAAGATTCTGTTGGGTGGCCGGCAGGTAAGTGACGAAGTATTGAGGCACCTCTGCTGTCTCCTTCCAGCCACTTTTGGGAGTTGACCTGGAAGCTTCATCAGAGTGTGGATAGCACTCTCCATCTCCTGCACGTTCGCATCTGAGAATGTTTTTCACAGCCGACTCTGTGTGTGCACACGCGTGTGCAAGTGAGATTGTTAAGACTGACCTTGGCAGCATGGCACCTCCCCCGCCCCCCCGACCCAGCCCGCTAACTTCAAATCTTCCACTTTCTCAAACCCTTTCCAAGTTTGACTTTGACCTCATAGAGCCAGGTCTAGTCCCAGATATCTTTGAGAATTTATCTTGGGGCCTAGATTCTTATATTTATTTCCCCCAATGTTTTGGAACCAAGACTGGTGCAGCCCAAAGGCTGGACTGGGAATATGTGGGTCGCTTTCCCTAAGTATCCGCCCAGAGTGTAGAATAGACCCCATGGGTTCAGGGCTGTCTGAGTCCCTTTGGGAATCTCGGTTGGAGCCTGACCCTGCAGAGAACTATGCTTGATGGGTCTTTGGCTCCAGGGAATAGGAAATCCAGATTGAGTAGGTTGGGTAGGTCCACATGAGTCAGGAATCTGCATTTTTAATACACTCTGTAGGTTCTCTGATGGGAAAGACTGAACAGAGGAATGGTGTGAGCCCATGGGGTAGACCTAAGGTAGTCTAACCATATCTCCGGGGGCTCAGAGTAATGGGGTCTGGATTCTGGAGAGGCCATGACAGGCCGAGACCACTGTTAACTGGAGCCTTCAGCCAGGGCGTCAGTATGACCAGCTGACCCGCTTGACTATGATATGTTTATGGGGGTCATCTCCCTGCACCCTCCTGGGCAGGATTAGGGGTCACTGCTGGTGTTTATGGAGCATGTGCCTCCCTCCCCCCAGCGCTGAGGCTGTGGAGAAAGGGTCTTTGAAAATGAAACCAGGGGAAAACCCCAGGGCACTGAGCAGGGGGAAGCATGGGGATGAACTCTGGTGACTTCAAGAAAGATATGGGTCTCCCTGAGTCACATGCTTCCTCTCCACCGTGGAAGGACGAGGAAGTGCGCGCGCTGTTCCCTGTTCCCGCGTTGATAATGTCTTCCGGGGGAGGAGCCGCGGAGTGCCGGCACCTCTGCGGCTTCGATCAAAACCTCCACCTCCCAGTTCCCAGCGATGCCCACGCCTCAGCCGATGCTGCTTCCAGTTGGGCCACATGAGAGGCGCTGGGGAAACGGGTCACTGTTGATAAAACTGATGACTGTCCCATAGTCCCAGGGATGGGAGCTGGTACAGACCTGGTTCCCAGGCACCCCCAAAAGGACCTCCGGCCTTCAGGTATTGGGTGGTGATTGATTTCTGTTATCTGGGCATGACAACATTCACACTGAGATCCTTCACTCTGTGCAAGGGTTCCCTGCTCTGGTTCTCGTGAGACATTCTCTTCCCATACGATGTAACTTGAAAAGGAACTTCCATAGTCATGTCATTTAGGAAGTTCCACCTCCATGATCTTTTTTGTGGCGGAGACTTATGGTATATACATGCACCCTAAAGGCTCTGAGAAGTCCCCCCGGTAAAGAAATGTATTTAATGTTTAACTCTGGTGTTTGCCAGCTAAATTCCTGTTTACGCAAGCAAATGTCATGACTCTTGAGGTCTGTGGTGTCACTTTGGAAAACTGCTTGGTCTGAAATGCTTCCCTCCCTCTTTCTTATCTTGATACTAGAGGCCCGGTGCATGAAATTTGTGTATGGATAGGGTCCCTAGGCCTTGCCTATGATCAGGGCCCATTGGGGCCTTCCTTCCCCCAGCTGCTGGCCGGGGCCTTCCTTCATTCCGCACTGCCCCCTGGTGGTGTACACATCATAGCGAGCGGTCGAATTCCTGGTCGGTCGAACTCTTGGTCTGTCGAACTCCTGAGGTGACAATTTGCATATTTGCCTTTTATTATATACTAGTAGGATACCTGCTCAAGCTCTCACTCATAGGAATGAAAGAACTATTTCAAGGAAGAAAACACTTCTCCTAAGTGTTGAATTGTTTACTGGTGATTTGGAAGCTCCTAGGGTCTTACTATGCGTGGCTTCCTCCATGATGTGGCCAGGAGCGGAGGAGGTGAAGGACACTTTCTTTGCAGAGTTGATAAAATGAGAGCCACGTGGACTGCATTAGGATCCGCCGGCAAAAGCACACCTGTCCTGTGCCGGGTCAGGCATTTCAATAGGACTCCCAGGAGGATGGTGATAAATATCTTTGCTCATTGCTCCCAACTTAACTAGATTTTCTTTTTTCATTTCATAGGTTTATATTTTTCGAGCTGACCGAAGATCAGGCACCTTAATTAAGATTTTTCAGGCATCAGGTAAAAAGGTAAGATTCTTGGTATATATGTTTGTGTTGTTTGAGAGATGTCATCATGGGGAAGTCAGATTTTACGCGCTGGAAAATGGGTTTAAAGGCTGTCTCTGGGCCCTGTGTTTATGTGGTGGTTCTGTTGCCTCTTGGTGCCTTTCTTTACCTTCTCAGCATTGAGTGTAACCTGCAGATTCATGGGATTCAGGTTGTTGTTGGAGACAGGTAGCAGGATGAGTTTGTAAGGGGCCAAGTTCAGCATAGAGTTTTTTGGTAAAAGGTTGTATTTCACACTGTCATCAAATGACTGCATACTCTGTTTCTCTTGGCCTCTCTGTCTCTCTCCATCTGTCTGTCTGTCTTTGCCTCATACATACACATCTGCACCTCCAGAGAGATCACACACAATTGTGTACAGGTAGCAAGCAGACCTGATTACTTTCCAAGGAGGCCCGCAGACAAATGGGTCTCACGCTCCCTCTCTCACCAGCACAGCGCCACCCCTGCCGCCTCGCATCCTGAGCCCTCTGCCACCATTGCCACAGGGACTGTTGTCACACGAAGAAAAACCAGAGTCACCCGTTTCCCTTTAGAGCCTTGAAATAGAAATAGCCTTCAAATTAGTCTTGGGCAAAGTTTATTTGCCTGCGTCATCTTGTCCTCATACCATCCCTAATCCAAATTCCTGCAGATTTTCCATCTTAATTTCTATCCATACTGCACCGAAGTCTGAAAGTAAGCCAGTTGGAGATGCTGTTGATTATTAAACATGGGCTTATCTGCTACCCACTCCTTGGTGTGGCGTAGATCGGCAGGCTTGCTTAGCATGACTGGCAGCTCTGAGGGGACAGGAATTCAGCTGGGAGGTGAGGCGGGGTTAGTGAGCTCTGGGGAGAGGACAGGACCTGAGGCGGGAGGGAGACACCAGGAGACTGTCAGAAGGTGACTTCCCTTCCACGACCCAGAGAAATGGGGGGAAAAGGCTGTTTCCTTCCTGGGCGGCCATGTGTCCTGGCCCTAGTTCAGTTTCTGCTCAGAGTCAGACCTGCTGTATGAGTTACATATTGTTCTGATGATGAATCCTATTGCAAGGACAAAAATCTACTCATTTTGTGCAGTTTTAGCAACCTTAAGGCGCATGCTCAGTATTGAATTGTCATCATATTTTCAGTAAAAAATAAAATAAAAAAATGCATCTCCAAACTCGGTTTTGTGACATTTTCCCCTGAGAACAGCTCTGCGTTCCCCCGAGAGCTGGGCTGCCTGTGTTATTTTAACATTTCCAACCCGCAAAGCAGCGACCCTGGAAAATGCCCGTGAGCAGTTCTGCAGAGGTTTCCAAGCACCGCCAGCGTTAGAGAGAATAACTGTGCGTTAGTGGCGAAGAGTCGCCAGGACCAAGGCGGGCGTGGGCGCTGCTTGTCATTTTCTTTAGGGCTCGTCTTGCCCGCTCCTGGCACCGTTCCAGACTTACTCCTTCGTCGGCCAATCCCTCCTGCCCTCTGGTTGCACTGTCTTCTAGCTTTACCCCCATCGCCTCTTTTTGATTTTGAAATAGACCCTTATTCTCCTTAGGCATTTTCTTCCGCTTTTTTCCCGAAGATATGAGGAATTCTTGCCTATCTGACGTCTCTGTCATTTCATAGGGGAAGGTCATGACCCCAGGCTCTCAAAGGATGCCTTTAGCGGAGTCTCACACACACAAGAGGGGTCTGACTCAGTAAACCACCGGTCCCTTCTGCTTTCGTGTGGCCAGAATTTGATCAGATAGTCTTATCTCCTGGCTTCACCTTGAGAAAAGAAAGAAAAAGGGAAAGAAAGAAAAAAACCCAGTTCTGGTCTTCATTGGTGGGCATGCTTCATGCATAGGACACATGAGGAATCACCAGTGTGGGTGCAGTCCAGATGTTAATCGAGGCCCACATCCCCGCATCCCCAGGCTAACGGGAGCTCTCCGAGCAAGGACCGCGCACCCCACAGCGCGCCGTTACCAGGCTGAAGTTTTACGGAATTGACTGAGTATGTGATGCATCAGTTATGTCAAAACAGAGATAGGGAACTTCACGTCCAGGGGTTTCTGAGTTAACACCGAAGAGCATGCCAAGTTAAACAGCCCATTAGAGTGAGACAAGTCTTTCCCTGGGACCTTGCCTGGGTCTCAGTCCTTTTACTCATGTCCGGGTAGGGAGATCGGCACAACCACCGAGTCGGCGACTGGCAGCTGGTTTCTGTGTCCCTGCCTCCCGTGCCTCAGAACCTTCCCTGCCCTCCTCTCTTGGGCATGAGGGGTTGGGGCACATGCGGGTTGAATGCACGTGGCCTTGGCATGTGCCTGGGAGAGGGCATCGGAGTCCTCTTGGCCCAGGGTCACTGCAGGGAGGGGTCTGGAGTGTCCTCCACCTGTGTCAGACTCCCCGGGGTCAGCTGCCCACACACTCGCAACAGTGAAAGGAAATGCTGCTTCGTGTCCATAGAACCAGAGCCCTTTTATTTGAAAACATGGATTTTAAAAGGGTAGCCTTTCTAATAAAGATCAGAGCTTGCATGCTGGTAGCCTCTGGAAAGGATACAGCCTACAAAAATGTTTGTTTGTCCTATGTAGTAAGTTTGTTTGTTTGTTTTTAATAGGAATTAGTTGCTATCATTAAAAAAAAAATAGGCCCTTCAAATAAATTGTTTTATTTTGGGCTTCTCTTGGACAATGGGACGGTTGGCCTTCTTCAGGGTAGCAGTTGACTGAAGCTGGGTAGGAGCTGCTCCCGTCGCTGGGTCTGTGGATGCCAGTTTGCCACAGTCTCCACCACTCCCTATTGTGCCTTAGCCACTGAAGCCTAGCGCCACTTGCCACTGTAAGCATACTCGCACTGCTATTTGTTTCCTACCTGTTATATCACTTGCCTGGATCCCATTCACGTTTGGTTTAAAAACCCCGATTTAAGGTAATAGGGACTGGATTAGGCTATGAGTAAGGATGAGCCCGTGTAGCCTGGTTGGGTCCCTCATCCACCCAATGGTCCACTAGGTCTCTCCCTTTTTCTGTCACTTCAGCCCATGAGTTCCTAACTGGCCTTTAGCTGTGCACAGGGCTGGGAGGGGGTCACCTGTTTCATGCCTCCCTGTGTCCTGAAACTTCATATTCCTATTTACTGGGCCTTGTCAGATGTCTGGATCACGAGGTGCTTTTATGATGGTTGGAACCTATACTTGCAACCTCAGTTTGTATTTTTAAAAACAGTGCCTCCTTCTCCCAGGATGGGTCCGTTGGTTGACCCCCTGGGTAGGGCTCCAGGACAGGGGACTCTGAGCCAGTTAGCTCTGGTCTCCTGGCGCCTGGTGGCCCCGCGTCACAGCTGCAAGACACAGGGAAGTCGGGTGTTTTCCCGTTCACCTTGGCGTTCTGGCTTGCGGGGAGGGCCTCCTGTGTGAGGGCAGACACTGAACGCTTTGTTGCAACTCGACTTGGTTGCAGATGGGCTCTTACTTCGGCTCCTCCTTATGCGCAGTTGACCTGAACGCGGACGGCCTCTCCGACCTGCTGGTGGGGGCCCCCATGTTTTCTGAGATCAGGGACGAGGGGCAGGTCACCGTCTACATCAACAGAGGAAATGTGAGTACAGTGCTGGGCAGCCTGTGGACAGGGGGTGGGAGGGGGACATGTCTAGCGAGTAGTGACCGAGCACCCTCTGGGCCCCGCACTGCGCCCTGCGACGAGCTTCCTACCTTCAGAAAGCTCAGTGTTCCACTGATGGAAAGTTACAACTGCCAACACACAGGGGTTCAGAAAATCTTAATGGCGGTGTTTTGAGTGCCTACCGGGTACCAGGAACTGTTCCTCCCGCTCTCTGTGAATGAGTTCAGTATAATGTGCACCTGGTATCAGTGGCCCCCATGTTTCAGGTGAAAAACAAACAAACTGAGGCCCAGAGAGGTCAGGTAACCTGCCCCAAATCACACAGCTAAGGAGTGGTGGGGCTGGGGTTTGAACCCAGGCCGGCTGGATTCAGAGCTTCATCTCTAGATTGTGCTGCCTTCCTCGGTGTGTACACGCATCTGCCCAGGCAGCAGAGAATCCTTCCCAGAGGACACAATGGCTAGAAGGAATCTTGAGGAAGGAGTAGGAGTTGGGCAGACAGGCAGGAGTGGGCTGGGAGCTGGGTGAGTGGGTGGAGGTGTGAGGCAGCAGGGCCACTTAGTTCAGCATGGGGCCTGGGTGGGGACCAAGAGCCCTAATCAGATGTTCCTTATTCTGCAGAATCATGAAAGGGATGTGATGGGGCAGAAAGATGCCTCTGTTTCCCTTTAGCCGAGTGGAGGAGGTGGTGGTGGGGAGACCAGTGAGAAAGCGGAATCTTTTCAGGACCTGGAAGTAAGAGTGTTCAGCCAGGAGGGAATGGTTAAATGAATAAATTCTGGTACCACCAGCCTTGGAGCTAACATGAGAAAATGCTTATGAGATAACCAGTGCAAAGCAGGATTAAAAACGGTGTATACAAACCACCTTTAAAAATAGAGCAAATACACAGAGGAGGATAATAACATCGCTCTGGGTGGTGGTCTTGGGGGCAGATTTTTAGTTTTCTCTTTATCCAAAATAGCAAACATGTCATGCTTTCATCATCAAAAACAAACAAAAAACGGTGAGTGTGCTTTTAAGCACTGACAAGGTGCTAGCTATCCCAATTGGGTAGAGGCGCTGGTGTGTCACCGTAACCAGGCGGGCAGGTGCCAGGAAGGAAGGGCAGCCATTGACAGAGGAGCCAGGGCACACGCGAGCCTTGGCTTTCTTGGATGTTTGCAAACTCTTTGCAAGGGAAGGAAGATGCTTCCTGGTACCTGGTGCAGCCACTGGTCACCTGCATCTCTGCTGACGTTTCAGTGAGGGGGACGGGGTGGGGGAGGTGATCATTGTGGAGATGAGAACAGCAGGCATTCACGCAGCCCCTCCCAGCCACTCTGTTCGCGGGAGCCTGACACGTCTGCGTGGGTGTTAACTTGTCTGAGGCAATCAGGCGGCGACCGGACGGATAGCCCGGCCATGTGTCTAAGTCGGGGCATGGACACTTGGAGCAGGAGCGTTCCCCAGATCTTCTCTGGGGACATTTCACCCCCACATCTCACCCCCCACAGCCCATGTTTCTTAAAGCCAAGTGCTGACCCTAAGTATTCTTATTTCTCTTGAACCTCTTCCTATTTTTAAAAAATATATATTTTTATTGGTTTCAGAGAGGAAGGGAGAAGGGAGAGGGGGAGAGAGAAATATCAATGATGAGAGAGAATCACTGATTGGCTGCCTCCCGCACGCTCCCTCCAAAAGGCACCCCAGGCTGTTGGAGAGCCCCATGCTGCCCAGGTACAAGGGACCCATCTTGCCCCCAGAGAGAGCGGTTTGGGTGCCTTTGAGTCTGCCCAGGTGTTTAGGTGTTTCCTGTCCATGGGGTGCGCTAGAGAGGTGATGTTCCCAGCTCTGTTTTTCTTTGTTTTTGTTTTTTTAATTGTGTTTTTGCTTTGTTTTCCGTTTTTCCTCCATCCTGTTTCCCAGGGAGCCCTGGAGGAGCAGCTGGCCCTGAGCGGGGATGGCGCCTACAACGCACACTTTGGGGAGAGCATCGCCAGCTTGGGGGACCTTGACGACGACGGGTTCCCAGGTGGGTGAGCGCCTGCCCCCTGCCTTCCAACCTGGCCCCCCCCCCCCCCCCCGTGATGCGCTCCTGGATCTACCTGCCCACAGAGGAGGGGGAGAGGACCCCTCAGAGAAGATGCTCTGTGCGGGCACTCAGGGCTGAGCTCTGAGCCCACGGGCATTGGCTTTCCAGGAGTCCTGTCTCGTCAGTTCTGTGTGTTTTGCTGTGTGATTGTGGGGCCCGTGAACCTTGGGGCCGGTCCCCTGGGGCTTCGGATGGCAGAGGAGCTCAAGCCAGCTTCCTCCCGGCGCAGACACATCTTGTTTCTGAGCCTCTGAGGCTCCACAGGCTCTACCGCGTTGTTCGTGAAATGAGCAAGGCGAGAGTTTGACATTCTCTCCCCTGATAGTCACAGCATGCTGGACTGACTTTTTAAAAAATATATTTTTATTGATTTCAGAGAGGAAGGGAGAGGGAGAGAGAGATAGAAGCATCTGTGATGAGAGAGAATCATTGATCGGCTGCCTCCTGCACATCCCACACTGGGGATCGAGCCCACCCCTGGGCATGTGCCCTGACTGAGACTCGAACCAAGACCTCCTGGTTCATAGGTCGACGCTCAACTGCTGAGCCACACCGGCCCGGGTTGAACTGACTTTTGAATAAGTTTTAATTGTTGGGGGTTGGGGATACCGAATGTGTAGTTCTGTTTGGACAGCAGTTGTCCTTCCCGGATGTGGCCTCTCTCTCTGGCCTGTTCAAAGCCTCCTCCCCTCCCTGCAGAGGCAGATGTCAGACATCAGGACCTGCGGGAGCCATGTCACTGGGCGATGGCCGAGGTGGAAGAGGGACTGGGGACCGCTCTTGCCTCAGGCCAGGCTGCCCAAGAGGCCTTCATTCAAGAGCGGGGGATCGCCACTGGAGGTCACGTGGGTGCACCACGCCTCTCACCTTTGACCTTACTTCTGCAGACACGTGACTTTCGTTAAAAGCAAAGGGCAAAAAATAAGGAAGATCTAGGCTTCGTTCCAGGAATTGTCAGTTTGTGAGAATAGTGTCAGATTTTTCTGTGTGTGAAGCAAATGCCATTGTATAGATTTCCTCATCCAGGAATAGAGTTGACTTTTAAAAATATATATATTTTTATTGATTCAAAGAGGGAGAGAGAGAAACATCAATGATGAGAAAGAATCACTGACTGGCTGCTTCCTGCCCACCCCACACAAGGGGCTGAGCCAGTAACCCAGGCATATGCCCTGACTGGGAATCGAACCCGGGACCCTTCAGTCTGCAGTCCAATGTTCTATCCACTGAGCTAAACCACCTAGGGCTAGAGTTGGCTTTTTCTATGCAGTAACCATTGTCTATAGAAATCCCCCCTCTGGCGGACGGAAATTGGGCCAGAGGTTTATCTTTGTATTTCTTCTTTTGGGTGGCTCAGTGATATTTTTCCCCTAAGAGAATGAGCTAGGACAGGGGTGGGCAACCTTTTTGTGAGTGCGTGCCAAAACCAGCAAAATCTCTGTCTCAAAGTTCTTCTGCGTGCCAACCCTAATTTTTTGAGACCATGTTACGCTTACTTGATATCTCTTAAGGTGTACGTATGTGAAGAACCTGTAGAAATAATAAAATTCATCCGAGCAACAAACACAGTATATGATGATGAAAAATACATTTACTTTTTAATGTATACATGTACACTGAGAGTCCGACAGAAGACTGTATGACTCCGTCTGATATTATCAGTGGGACTTTTGCTGCTGCATCACTGATGGCAGAGATTTTACATCAGGTTTCTATTTCGTGACCTTCAGAGATATGCACGAGCTACTACTTTCATCCGTCAGGCTACTCCTATTACGAGACTTAACAGAATTCATCACTGAGAACAAAGATTCACAAGCGTATGTGGATGAAAGCATGGAGAGTAACGCTGTTGCAAAGTTTTTTAAACAGAAAAAATTTTCTGGAATGGCATTCCAAGTCCTCAAGAGTTCATTCTCGACACTTCTCTCTGGTACTCCTGTCTCTAATCGCTTTTTTTCAATGTTTTCCAAGTCAACTCTAAGGTCAATAAATTTCTGCTTCCAAATTGAGCTATGCTGAAATGCAATCCACTGCATTTCAAAGTCAGCCATGTCTATGGTCTTTAAGATAACTTGTTAGGTAAAATTGTTTATTTATCTAAGCTGCACCTACACTGAATTTATCAGAAAAAAAAAAAGTCGATATTAAGAAAAAAATTGTAAATGGAAGATTATAAGAGAGGGTTTGGCGTGCCAGCAAAAGTTACTGGCGTGCCATGTTTGGCACGCGTGCCAGGAGTTGCCCACCCCTGAGCTAGGAGCTTTCCCGGAATGAAACTCTTCCCACCTCCTATCATTTTCTTTCGACTTTTTTTTTGTTTTTTTTCTGCTGAGAGATTATGTGCCTGAGTGGATGCTTGATCAAGCAACAACCGAGACATTTTTGGTTTGGAGGGACTCAGACATGATGGCAGGAATGAGGGAATCCGCTCTTAGGTTATTCCACGTGGCTTTTCTCACCGCAGCTGTTTCTCTCCCCTCAGACGTGGCCGTCGGCGCGCCCATGGAGGACGACTTCTCGGGCGCCGTCTACATCTACCACGGGGACGCCGACGGGATAGTCCCTCAGTACTCGATGGTAATGGTGGGAGAGGGAACTGTTTGTTCATCCATTCATTCCACTTTCCTCTGTGCCACACCCTGGGGGCCGGAGGCGCCGACAACTTCCCTCCTGCTCTTAGCTTTGCCACGCTCTAGCGAAAGGCACCGATTGGTACTGCTTATGAAAGAGCAAGACATTTCTAGACTCCAGAGTTTGCTGACATTGAGGGATGCATCTGCCGACACAAGATCATGTCCAAATTCTTACCCAGAGTTAGAGCGATTGATTTAAGGGGAGGCTTTCTTTGTTGTTGTTGTTGTTACTCCTTTGTCAACCGTCTGTGCTAAAGCTGAAGGGTCTATTGTAAAACATGATCTAGAAAGACTGTGATCCAAGGAGGAGGGACCTGAAAGCCGCCACAGGGCTGTTGTCCCATTTGGCACTGACACGAGAAGTGGCTTACGCTCTGGCCTCGTGCCCCAGACTGGGGAACATGGAAGTGGTGAGTTCAGTTTTTTGTCGTATCAGCTTGGTGTTCAAACTTGCTGATGGTGCCGAGCCCAGCCCCTGGGAAACAGGAAGTGGTGCTCTGGGCAGCAGCACCGCCAGGATGTCTGTGCGGAGAGGGGCCCAGGCCTGCGGCGTGCTCCCGGCGGGTCAGGGACAGGGAGGGACGGAGCCCAAACGGAGAAATTCCCCATCAGCAAATACTGACTTATCGAGCGCTTATTATGTGCTCCCGCCTTCCTGCTCATGCTTATATTTCTCATCGTGAAGAGGATTATGGCTAAGGAAATACAGTGTTGAACGGAGCCTTGCTTTTATAAAAGGTTCTATAAATGTTCCATAAAATGAAATGGTAGTAAAATACCAAAACCAGCTCCCGTCCTGAAGTTCCTAGGTAAGGGAAAAACAGACTTTACAAGTTGATTTTTAGAGGCAGTACGTCCTGGGAGGTCAGCTTATACATTCATAGTTGTTCTTCTTGCTTCACTAGAAGTTGGCTGCTTATGGGCTGAGGGTCGCTGCCTGTGGGGCGTCAGGCTCCCTCTGGGCAGGGCCTCCTGCTCCGTGTGTGACTCCAGGGGGCAGATGTGTGTGACTCCGGGGGGCAGATACCGAGTGGGGGGACAGCTCTGCCTCTTACCTTGAATCCTCCTAACAGCCATGCGAGATGAGTACTTTTTTTTTTTTATTGCTTAAAATATTACAAAGAGTAGTACATATGTCTCTGCCAACACAAGATCATGTCCAAATTCTTACCCAGAGTTAGATCGATTGATTTAAGGGGAGGCTTTCTTTGTTGTTGTTGTTGTTACTCCTTTGTCAGGCTGACGTTATTATTTTTTTTTTTCCGCTTGACCTTCCCCCGGCCTCCCCTACCTCCCACCCCCACCCCCGGTTCTTGTGTCCCAGGTGAGTACTTTTATCACCACCTTTTATTTGTGGGGTGACTGTGGCCCAGGGAGGTTCTTTAACTTGCCCAACATGTGGCAACATGGCCATCGCAACTGCCAGTCCGACTCCCAAACCTTTCGTTGTACCCACCATCCTCCGCTGCATGTCAGAGGAAGGACCCCTGGCGGAAGCCCAGTGGAAAAACGTAGGAATGTGGAAACTTCGCTGTGAGACGTAGGTGCTCCAAGGGGCCTTTATCTACACGGGTCTTCCACGTTTTATCAGAAAAGAACCACGGATGGTGGGAATACACTCTTAGGGGATTCTGCCAACATAGCGAAGGGAGAGGGCTGCAGTCACAGTTGGGGGTCCCATGCGCATCACCAGGGCTGCTCTAGTCTGAGTCGGGGACACCCTTCCCCGGGGCGACAAGCTGAGGGTTCTTGCACATCGCCCCGGAACTCATTCCTTTTTCTTGAGTTCACCGTGAAGAGTGTTGGTTTAGGATCCGTGGTGTCTTTCTCAACTCGAGAGCCCTGTCGTGGCGGCCCCTGGGGTCTTCCTGCCGAGGAGCTGACCATCATCCCGGGAGCCCGGGAGTCCTCGGCCAGCCGACCGCCCGGGGTCACTGTCCACGCATCCTTCTGGAAGCTTGTTCCCGGACCTCGGAAGCCGGCCACACGGGGAGGCAACCTGCGAGGCCCCCTCCCCCGCGCTCCAGGGTCTTGTTCCGTTGCTGGGTGGAATCCTGCAGGCAGGCAGCTGACGTCTAAATGTGTGGTCAGCGCGGTGCCTGCAGTAGGAAGCGGGGATCAGCAGCTGGGCCCGGCCGGCCTTTGTCAGCAGGTTGGCTCGTTAACGTTGACAGAGAGAAGTCCTTTGGGGCTCTTCAAAAAAGAACAAAAAGAAAGAAACAACTATGATTAGACTTTTCCGAGCTGCCTCCTATGGATGCGATAAGGTCAGGGATTGAAAAAGGAAACTAAAACCCTCTCATGACAGAGTCTTCGGGGCCCAGGTCCGGACAGAGCGGGCATTGTGTGGGCGAACTCGGGGAGGAAATCAGAAACAACCCCGGGGCGAGGCAGGCGCTTTTCCTTGGCCCGGCTCGGTATTATTTCTGCTGGGTAAATCGTGCGATCGGCGTCAAGTTCTTCCACATTGCTCCTTCCTCTTTCTCCGGGGCCCCGTGAAAAGGGTTGATTTTAAGATCCTTGCGTGCCTCTCTGGGTTCCACAGCCCCCTGGGCATGTTAGGGCGGCTCCTGCGATCTCTCCCCTCTCTCCTGCCCGGAGGACACTGTCTACAAACCTGGTGGAGCTCCTGGTTTTCATTTAGAGTTATTAGCACCGAGCAGACGTGTCTTCCTGGCTTTCTGGCCTAATGGCCTGCAGATGTCTGCGGGAGAACGTCAGCCTGCATCGCCACCCCCAAGCGGACCACCCCTCCGCTCTTCCCCCGCGCCCCAGCCGAGCAGACCTCAGACAGGCAAAGGGAGGGCAGGCTGCCGCCGGCGTTGGTGGACCTCAGAGCGAGGTGGTCGGCTTCAAGATGTGGCGTCCATCCACATTTGTTGACACAGGGCCATGTGGGATGCGGACCGTGCCTGGGAGCGAGACACATGTCTTCAGTGCTTCCGACAGGGTTCTGACTTGTATGTTGATGCTCGCTCATCTCCTGCCGGATGGCCTCACTGGAGATGGCGAGTGGAGGGCTGTTTGTCGCAGGGAATGGCCTTGGCCTAGTGTCCGTCTGTAGATCCTATGGAAACTCCCCTCCCCCGGCCTCGTGACTTCTCTGGAGGTTGGCCCAGTAAGGAAAAGGGTAAGGGGAGAAAGCCCACAGGGAGCTCCTGGGCATCTGTGTGCCTGGTTCTGACGAGGCTTTTGCTGTGTGGCATGAAAACAAAGCATTTCCCTTGTCACCTACATGAGGGTGTCATGGACTGAGTCTCCACAAGGAGACTGTATAGACAAAGAGAAGGCGGGACGGGTCAGATGCCAGAAGATAGGACTCTTCTGATTCAGGAAGCTCGGTATCTTTGTGAGGGGCTGAGCCCCACAAAGGTCGATGTATGACGAAGGTTGCTTATAAGCAGATCATCTTGATCTACCGTGTGAACATACGGTGATGAATGATGAATCAAGAGCACAGATGCCTGAGTTCCTGGAGTTGGTCGGGCCGTGAACTCTGAATGGTTGGTTGAGAGCTGCCCTTCAGGGAGGAGGCTCCAGCGAATTTTGGGGTTTTCCTACAGCACATGGGAGGTCCAGGGCCTTGGGGTTCTAGGTTTCCGAGGTAAAGCTGCTTCACCCTGTCAGGGGAGCTCAGGAGCCGGCGGATCTTCTGGTTGGCTGCATGGAGAGGCCGTCGCCTGTGGCCGGCTGGTCCATCAAGACATGCGCATTGCCTGCCCGCCTAGGGAAAGACTCCAACGTGTACCGCTTAGGGGAGGAGTATAACATGGTTAGTTACATGTTTGGGAAGAGTGATATAAGGAAAAGTATGTTCTTAGAATTTCAGCCAGCTCTCCCCGTGTAAACACGACACAGAACCTTCATTAGAAAGGGCAGCCACACATTATCCACTTCACACTTCACTGAACATGTCAAAACATCAACACACTGGGCGGGGTAGCTCTTTCGTTAGCCCCGGACTTAGAAACAAATGTAAATCATGGCATCTGGCGAAGGCAAGGAATAGTAAAGGAGTGTGTGGTCTTTAGCTGCCTGCCAAAGACTCCCTGATCAAATCAGGACTCCTTTTTTGTAAGCTGTTCTTTCAACAAAGTCAAGACCAGGTGTCCTCGGAGGCTGGGCTAAAACAGTCACGGGGCTTATCCGGGACTGTGCTCCTTTCCGGCGACTCAGTTTCCCTGTTGTCTGTTTCAGAAACTGTCCGGGCGGAAGATCAGCCCAGTCCTGCGGATGTTCGGGCAGTCCATGTCAGGAGGCATCGACATGGATGGGAACGGCTATCCCGGTAAGCGATTTCCCTTAAGGCAGATGAGGTACACCAGCAGTTCTCAACCTGTGGGTCGCGACCCCTTTGGGGGTCGAATGACCCTTTCACAGGGGTCGCCTAAGACCATCCGAAAACACATATATAATTACATATTGTTTTTGTGATTAGTCACTATGCTTTAATTATGTTCAATTTGTAACAATGAAATTGGGGGTCACCACAGCATGAGGAACTGTATTGAAGGGTCGCGGCGTTAGGAAGGTTGAGAACCACTGAGATACACGAAGGAAAATGCACGAGGTAGCGTGGTTGCCTCTCTTTAGGATCAGGAAAATTCACACCCTTAGCAGGGGGTGTTTGGCCTGGTGTTTGATTTTAAGGTGAAAATGTGGAAATCTCTTTTGGGGTTTTTTATTTTTTTTAAATATGTTTTTTTATTGATTTCAGAGAGGAAGGGAGAGGGAGAAGAGAGAGAAACATCAATGATGACAGAGAATCATTGAACGGCTGCCTGTTGCACGACCCCGAGTGGTCGAGTCCACACGTGGGCATGTGCCCTGACTGGAGTTGAACCATGACCCCCTGGTTCACAGGTCAATGCTCAACCACTGAGCCATGTCCGCAGGGCACTTTAGGGGTTTTTAAATGACCTACTCTGAAGAGTGGAAGCAGCAGGTGGGTGGATTTTACGGTGAATTCTGTGGCTGCCAGTCTTTCTCATGAAGAAAAAAAAGCACGTCTACATTAAAAATGATAAATAGTGAAACCTTATGTTTTTCTTGATATTATTTTTTTAAAGATGTTTTTATTGATTTTAGAGAGAGATGAAGGGTGAGAGAGAGGAGAGGGAGAAACATTGGTGTCAGAGAGAAACATTGTTCGGTTGACTCCTGCTCTCACCCCGATCTGGGATCAGATCCGCAACCTGGGTAGGCGCCCTGACCGGGAATCGAACAAGTGACCTTTGGTACACGGGATGACACTCAAGCACTGAGTGACACCGGCCAGAGCTTCCTTGATATTATTTAATCATAGTCAGAATTTTCTTACTCTCAAGAGGGGAAAAGGGACTGAGTACCATCCCTCCCCCTGCATGAAAATTATTGAAAGATTTTGAGCAAAAAGAAAACCGTTGACGAACAAAGCAGACCTTCCCCGTTCAGGCTGGCTGGCTGGCTGGCTGGCTCGTCTTCAGAGTCAGTGTCTTGCGGTGGTTGAAGCAAATTGAATAAAAATGTAGGATTTTCAAACCCCAGTCCCAAGTGATACCTGATTCAGGTATTTGAAGGGGATGGAGTGGGATGAGGTAAGGAAACAGAGATCAGAATTTTAAAAATCCAAAATCATCGTGGAATTCAGAAAAAATTTCCCTGGAACTGTAGGCCGTCCTGCTGTCTATCTAGAGAAGATGTTTCTTTCCACCGAGAGCGCTTCAGGAGGACCTGGGAGAAGTCACGAAATCCTGTAGGAGGGCACCGAGTTCTGTAGTTTCTCCCAGGGTTTTGAGCATCCCTCGCATCGGTACAGAGCCAGGAGGAGTGGGGATAGGAGAGGGGCAGTGTGGACGTTGCTGTCCCTGTAGAGCCTCATGGGCCTTTTTCAGTTTGAGAGAGCAGTTCTTGCCCCTGGCAATTTGTGGCCATCCCTAAACAATGCCTTATGACGGTTTAGCGCTTTAATAGATGCAAAATGCTTCCACATGCAATGGGCATCTTATAATAACCCCCGTAGGTAGGTGGAGATGGGGGTGTCCTCCCCCCCTCCACTTTACAGTCAAGGATACTGAGCCTCCGAGAACTGAAGGGACTGGCAGGGACCACACTGTGGTGGGCGAGGACCTAGCCTGCTTCTCTATAAATGCGTGCTGAGCAGGTGTGTTAATACTTCACGAGGAAACTGACTCTATCTTGCATTTTTCATAAAAGAAACGGCCAGTGGATCGGGGTCTTTTATTTTCAGATATTCAATCAATTTAACAAAATGAGCAAGCGTACCCAACCGCAAACCTTTCAGCAGCAACACAGTTCGTGGATTTGCTCTTTGTTTTCCCCGGTGAGGGTGTTGGGTAGACGTAGGGCTTCAGGCTCTTGGACTCAGGTGCTGGGTTCTGCGAGGAGTAATGGGAACCCCAGGGCTGAGGGCTTATATGAGACGGGAAGAAAGGCAGAGAGCTGTTGGGCGAGTGAATGCTTCCTAAATTAAAGTTATTTAGAACAACCACTGCCAGCTCACACTTGTGTTTTGGTGTGTAGTTTACCAAGTATTTTCTGAACTCAATATCTAATTTCTTATATTTATTACATATTGAAGTACTTCATAAATAGTACATCGAACACATTTAATATTATGTTTGACAAATATTGAATGCATGTTTTCCGAAAATATGCTTTTGAAGAAGACGTAGGATAATCGTCTCCGTTGTTCAGACAAGGGTGCTGAGCGACTCTGGGGTGGCAGAGAGTGAGGGGGGCAGTGGAAATGAGTCACATGTTCCACAGAACTTGGGGCTTTCTGCACGATCATGTAATTCCAGGTAGCCCTCTCATTCATGGATGCCCAAAAGAAACGTAATGTGACCCACATATGTAGTTCAGAATATTCTAGTAGCCACGTAAAAGAACAGGTGGAATTAATTTCAGTAACGTTTTATTTGGCCCAGTATATCCAGTGTATTATCATTTTTACATATAGTCGATATGGAAATTAAGGAGGTGGCTGTTCTTTTGAATGAGGTCTTTGAAATCCATCTGGATTTTACACTTACAACACATCTCGGTGCGGACCAGCCACATTCCAAAGGCTCGACGGCCACACCTGGTGATTGGCTGCCGTACGGGCCCGTGTGGCTCTGACTCTGACAGGACCGTTCTGGAGCCCAGAGGCTGGCCATCAGCGGCCCGACCTCGAGGCCGGGCCCCATTGCTGTGGAGAGCCTTGGGGTAGAGGGGATAGGCCTCAACAAGTTTCTAAATCTGCATGTTTCTGGCTTTCAGATGTAACTATTGGAGCCTTCATGTCCGACAGCGTGGTTCTTCTAAGGTGAGATGTTTCCTCTTGCTTCTTGGATTACATTCTTCGTGGGTGAGGGGAGGGATTGGTGGAGGTGGGGGGGACTTGGGGGAGTCATTCACCTTAGCCAGCAATTCCCTCTGTCCTGCTCCTTGTCTGCTGAGGTGCTCAGTCCGCGGGAATGCTCCCTTTCTTTTAAAAAATATTTTAGTTTATTGATTTGAGAGTGAGAGAAGCATTAGTTTGTCGTTCCACTTATTTTTGCCTTCATGGGTTGATTCTTGTATGAGCCCTGACCGGGGATCGAACCTGCAACCTTGGTGTATTGGGAGGATGCTCTAACCAACTGAGCGCGCCGGCCAGGGCCAGTGCTACCTTTCCTGTTATTCTCTGTCGCAGGTTTCCAGCTGGTGGGCCTGCAGTGGCTCACAGGTGTGAGAGAGAGCATCCTTGGAACTCCTAGGCAGAGTCTGCGGCATCCTGGGCCATAGGGGTTTTGCGTTTAGCCACGAACGGCCCTTTTCCCCTTTCGTTCAGATGCTGTGCTCATCCGATCGTTCCCATGGGTGCCGTGACACTCAGGGGCCCAGGAAGCACTGTCCTGTCTCATGTCTTCACCTCACACCCTGCATCCTCCCTTCCTCGCCTCGTCATTCCCCACCCCCAGGGACCAGGAGCCTTCTGCCCAAGGGACAGCGCATCATTCCCTGGTAGCAGTGGAGCGGAGGGACGTGCGCTGGGGCCCAGGCAGCCTGCATCTCCCCTTCAGAGGCCCGTGGGCCGCCATCCCACCCGTGAACCATCTCCAAGCATTTCTGTCTGCATGAGTCAGAGGAGGCAGAATTACACTTTGGAGTGGGAGCCAACTCGTAGGTTTTGTTAATAACCCGATGGCAGAACGTTCTAAAATAGGCAAGTAGGATCTCAGAGCTGGAAGGGGTCCCAGGGGCCATGTGGTTCCTCACCCCAGGTCCGTCTCATGCAGCAGTGCCTTCAGCTTCTGAGGGTACAGTTAACTCCCGGGGAACCCCAAATACTTTGAAGAGGCAGAATCCCCCTGAGGCTGAGAGTGTGGAACTCGGGGCCTGGTGCTCTGGGTCCCAAGCCTGACTCTGCCTCTATGTGAGTCTGCCGACCTCTCTTTCAGATTCTCATCTGTTCAGCAAGGTAGTAGATCCGACCCATGGGGTTCTCATGATAACTCCTGGAATTAGTGCCTGTGAAACGCTTAGAACGGGGCCTAATCTCAGTGCTCAATAAATGCGAGCAATTCTGACATAAATTAGGTTACATCTGCCTCCCTCTGAGTCTGCTTCTTGGTCCCCTGTCTCCTATGTAGAGATGGATGGCTTTGGGGCAGGTTTGGCAAGCTAGCGTCTTCCCCAGCCATTCAGGCTCTTTCTGTCCACCCATCTCTGTCCCGCCAGCAGCACTGACCTCGAGAAAGCCCAGGGCACCCTGCCTGGCTTCGTTCCTCACCTGGACGTGAGCTACGACTGCCAGCCATCGGAAAGAATTACAGCCACCAGCTTCCCCCAAAATAAAATCTCGGGAACATGTGCATGGCTGTCCTGAGGTGCCCCTCTGCTTTCATCTCCGAGGCTGGCCCCGGGCAGCCCAGCCTCCCGCCCACAGGAGTGCGGGCAGGGCCAGCTCTGCCCTCAGGAAGTTTGTTCTCTCCGATTAGCTGGGGAGGCCAGGTCCTGTGGCGGGACGATAGGCGGCTGGTGTGATGCCATTGAGGCAAAGGAAGTGATCAGAGAGGCCCATGAAAGATTTCTGGGCTCTGCCTGGTCCAAAAACAATACTTGGAGCTGGAACACAAAGGTTGGAGGGAACTGATGTTGGAGGGAGATGTGCCCGGGAAGGTCCTTGCGGGTCATTTCAAAGGATTCTGTTTGAACAACTTTCATCATTTTGTCTGGCCTGCTGACTTCTGTTTCCTGTTCACCTCACCTTCTGCAAATCTCTGCCGTGAGAGGAGGAACCAGATGTCCCAGGTGGCCCCTGGGATGATGGGAGGGGCTGGCTTTTCTTTTCTTTCTTTCTTTCCTTTTTTTTTTCAGACTTTACAAAAAATCAAAAGATTTTTCATTTATTTCAGAAAATGTGAACCCATTATTTTTTCAATTATTGCTTCTCCCATTCTCTTTAGTCCTTCCTCTGGAGCTCAGATCACATTATCTTTACGTTCTTTCCATCATGTCGGTTAATCTTTCCTTATGATCTGTCTATTAATTTCCTAATAACGTTAAGCAAACATACTATTGTTCTTTAAACTGCTTCTATTATTCTTTCGATGCCAGTTCTCACATCTGTTAAATGTACTCACTCCTCCATGGTGTTCCTTCATGTAGTTTATAATTTTCATTGCAAATTTACCTTCAGCAATCGGTTTCTTTTTGTTTCTTGGGGTATTTTCTGTGATGTTCCATGAGCCCTGGGTTGTGGAAGTCTAACTGTAGAGTGATTTGAGGTATGTTTCACAATAAGGCTATCAAATGATTGCTTCCTCTATTTCCGATTCCTTGCAGCGCTCACATTTGTTTAACTCAGTTGGCAGAAAGGAAGTCAGCAGCAGATTATCTCTTTCTTTTTAAAAAAATATATTTTTATTGATTTCAGAGAAGGAAGAGAGAGAGAGAGAGAGAAAGAGAGAGAGAGAGAGAGAGAAAAACATCAGTGATGAGAGAGAATCATTGATCAGCTGCCTCCTGCACGCCCCACACTGGGGATCCAGCTCACAATCTGGGCATGTGCCCTGACTGGGAATCACACTGTGACCTCCTGGTTCATAGGTCGACGCTCAACCACTGAGCCATGCTGGCAGGGTGCTGGCTCTTCTTTTCTATGATGACTAGGACATATACGATGAGATTGGGCCCCGTTCTAAGCATTTCACAGGCACTAATTCACGGAGTTCTCATGAGAACCCCACGGGCCTGTACTACTCCCTTGCTGAACAGATGAGAATCTGAGAGAGAGGCCATCAGTCTCGCATACAGGCAGAGTCAGGCTTGGGACCCAGAGCACCAAGTTCACAGTCTGGGCAGGGAAGGGCTCCCCCAGGGTGCAGACCTGCTCTCCCGGGGACCTCTGTCTGTTTTGTGGAACTTTGGGCTTTCCTGTTCTTTTCCTGGGCTTTTAATCCCTTTTGAAATAATGGAGTACAGTTTGCAGCCATTTATCAAAGGCTTTTGGACAGTTACTATCCTGAGACCATCGGGGTGAATTCACCAGGATCCCAGCCGCTGGGGGGGCCTGCAGGCTGGTGGGGCAGGTTCGGAAATAGACAGCGACCTTCATTAGTACGTGAACACAGAGACCACAGCAGGGGTGGGCATCGACTGCCAGGGTTGCTAAGGAAGGGAGGGGAACCCCTGAGCTGGCCGTGAAGGGCCAGGGGGGCTGTAGCGAGTGACCATGGGCATCCGTACAGACACCGTGACCAGGAGAAGCTGTTTATAGCATCTTCTAAGGACGAGCCCAGAAGAACAGAAGAACATTGGAAGGCCAGGATACTGGATTTCTCTCGGGCAGTGCTGTTGCCTGCCTTCCGTTAGTCCTGCAGCTGGGTTGGCCCTGTGAGCCCCACAGTTCCCTTGTCCTTGTCACACTGTTGCTCTCAACCCCCGTCTCCTGGCAGCAGTGGCCGCAGTGAAATCCCCTGGCCCCATCTGTGCCGCGTGTCCCCCGGCTCCCTCCTTTCTCCGAGTTTCCTTTCAGGCTTCCTTCCCTTAGAGCTGGTGTTGGTCCTCGTTCCCATCTGTCTTGTCCCCCTGGGCACTCTTGAAGGGGTCACCGTGCACAAGGAAAGTCATTGTTCTCGAGCCGCGAATGCCCCTTAATCTTGTTATGTCAGCCCAGTGCATGAAGGCCAGGGTCCCATGGAGGTGAAGAGGTCTCTTTGTGAGGCCTGGCAGGGAGGAGAAGGTCAGGCCACAGCTTAGGTGAACGGCCCCTGAGCAGATGTTTGCCGGGAGAGCAGAATGGGCTGATCCGCTCTGGGGATTCACAACAGAGATGCCCATCCATCAAGCACTGGGGGGCGGGCCGAGTCCTTGTAAAGAGAGGGGATGTTTATTGGGTTTCACTGAGGCCAGGCGGGTTGGTTCCATCAGCTCCGAAGTGCTTTGCTGTTAGCAGCTGGGATGCCTTTAGTCAAGGTCTTTCAGAAAAAATACTTAGTGGATTGATGGGAGTCACTGAAGGGGGAGGTCTGACCCACCGGTCGGGCCTGGAACTTTGCAGTTCATGCTTCTAATGGCGGTGGAGGCTCCGGGGGTCCCGATTGTGCATCTGTTTCTCAGGTCGTGCCGGCGGCTGTCCAACTTCTCAGATATACTCATTTCTTCCTAATGAAATGGAACTCGGAACCTAATTGGTGGCATTTTAACATCCGGTGGCCCGTTCATGGCTTCATCCAGATGTGTTTTGTTCACAAACAACCTGCCTTTGTTGTTGGGAAGCTAACCGTTCTTTATTTATTAGGAAGTAAGCTGAAGAACCACAGAAAAGTACCGGCAGCGCATCCGGGCCCTTGTCTCTTGGGCGACTTCACACGTAAAGTGCTGGGCTGAAGGCCTGGGATTTGTCCCATCTGTTTAGTTCTTGTCTGGTTCTGGCAGCTGCTTGTCCCCACGACTGAGTCACCTTCCTCTCTTGACCCGCAGGGCGAGACCGGTCATCACGGTGGACGTCTCCATCTTCCTCCCCGTCTCCATCAACATCACGGCGCCCCAGTGTCGCGACGGACAGCAGCCCGTGAACTGCCTGAATGTCACCGCCTGCTTTCGCTTCCGCGGCAGGCACGTGCCCGGAGAAATCGGTAATGAGCCACCAAGTCAGGGATGTTTCCGAGTTCCCGCTGGCTGTGCTTCCCGCCTGGTTTTGCAGGCAGCAGGCCACAGATGTTCAGGAAAATGAACCGTAGTTCCATCTTTCTGGTAGAGGGAGACATGCAGAAATATGCCCTGAAACGTGCGGGCAGTGGTATTACGGAAAGGTTGAGAAGGGTGATGGGCAGCCATTGTGGAAATGGACGGGATGTCAGATGGAGGTGGAAGGAAGTATGTCAGGTGGCTGTGTGAATCCAGCTTCAGGTGGGGGTTCTGAAGTTGGGCATAGAAGGCAGCCCCCCTGGCTCTGCACCATCGGGAAGGTTGGGTTTTCAGATGGAGGTGGAATGGGGGGATGTCCAGGCCCCTGGCATCCTCCGCCCTCCTCCTAGACCAGCAGACGTGCTGCAGGCCGGCTCAGTGCCACGCCCAGGCCTCCAATGATGAGCCTTCCCCATTCTCGTCGCTGGTGGCTGCGGAGGAGCCGTGGTGGTGGTGGTGGTGGTGGTGGTGGTTTTGGCCACGAAGGCCTAGCACAGGAGTCCGCATATCCAGGGCTGGGAGTGTCAGCAAAGGGCTGCCTGTGGGCAGTGCAGCCTGGGTTGTGCGATAAAGAGGCACCGTGGGAAGCTAGGCCTCCAGGACAGCGGTCGGAGTGGTGTCTTCAGTGGTACCAACCTGCCGCCACCTTCGGCCGCAGCTCCCCCCGGGGGATGGTTTGGGAGCCACAGCAGTTGGTGTTATTGCCTTGTCTCTGGTGGAGCTCACGCATATGCACAGGGAGGGGACTGCAGGGAAGGGACTCCACTCGCCTCTTCCCTTTCTGCGTTAGCAGTGGAAACCATGGCTCCCAGGTGGCCACAGGAGTGCTCAGGGCCAGCTGGTTAGTCACGCCCCGGGGGCTGCTGTGGCTTCTGGCTATACTGTGGGGATTCTAGAGGGTCGCTGTAGGGGTGATTCTGCCCTGGCTCCGCAGGGGAGGGTCCAGTCAGGAAGACAGAAACCACAGCAGTTATTTTCACAAAGGGAGTGTAACGTTGGGGGTCAGTCCAGCAGGTCACAGAGGACCCCGCAGTAACTGCAGGAAGTAGCCACCCTGCTAGGTCTGCACCAGATGGTGTTCCCAGACCAGGTGCAGCAGCGGCACCTATTAGAAATGCAAATTGTAACTGAATGAGACCCTCTGAGGGTGGGGCCCAGCAAGCCTCCAGGTGGCTTAGCTCTGAGCACCCCTGGTCACCTAGGGGAACCCAAGGAAAAGGTTACACTTGGGGGGACCACTCTCTTGGGGACCTAGAAGCTGGGAGAAGAGCCCCTGCAAAGCTAGATCCTAAAGCTTGGAGGAGGGGCTGCTAGCTGGCGCTGCTGGTGTGTCTGAGGGGGTGCAGGGAGGCTGGCTGTGAGGGAGAAACTGAAACTTGAATCAACCGCTGTTGGAGCCAGCTGCTGTGAAAAACGGATGCTGGTGGGGATGGAAAGCAGGCAGGACCAAGCAAGCCCCTTCTCCCTCCTCCAGCCTTGCAGCCCCTGCCCCCCAGCTCTCCATCTTGGCAGAGCCACACAGAGGGCGACTGGCAAAGAGGAAATGAGTTTGCCGAGTCCCTTCCCGGCACCGCAGAGTGAGGACAGGTTTGGAGCTGAGAGATGACAGCTTCCAAAACCAGCCCAGTGGGTGTCCAGTCCCAGGGAGTTACTGAAGCGCCTGCTGGGTCAGTCAATCAGCAGATCCTTATTAAGCTCTTAAAAATGCTTGGTCCTGGGTGCAAAGCGGGGAAGAGGCCAGGCAAAGTCCTGTCCTCATGGAGCTTGCGATCGAGGGCGGGGAGAGGCAAATGATCCAGACAGAAACAGCCGATGTTGCTGCCTCTGGGTGTGTCTGAGCCCCTTTAGTGGCAGCCCCTTGGCTCACTGTTGGGGTGCAGACACAGCGCTGAACTCCAACAGCCTCAAGAACGGGTTTATGATGTATTGCATCGAGCAAGAGGTCTGCCCACCCCAAGTCTCATGAATCACTTCGTTCTTGGCTTGGGGAGTGGCCGTGGCTCCTCGGGGCCTCCTGGATGCCATAAGTAAGGTGGTGAATGCTTTGCCCCTGAGGACTCTGTCCCTGACCCCTGCTGGCCACACTGTAGCCTCCACCTGCCTGTCAGTCTCTGGAGGCCGAGAAGGAGCCGGCCATTCTGGCCTCTGACCTGAGTCCTTAGAGCAAAACCAGGGCGGGATGAGCCCTAAGTGGTTGTGTTTTGTGCTCTGATTCTGAGTCCTGTGCTTCCATGGCTCTCAGTCAGCCTGGCAAAGCCAGGAGCACTCAGGGGTGCCTGCCCTCCCTCCAGACCAGCAGCTGGGCCCCAAGGTCATCCAAGCCAATGCAGAAAAATAGGGTTGAAACCGGGAGACTTGATCCCTCACCCTTCCTCTGGCTTTTGGGGTGCATTTGTCTTAGCTCCTTCCAGTTTCTCCAGGAGCATAGGGATGGGCTAATGAGGCAAATCCGTGTGAGATGAGGAATGGGACAACCTGGTGTGATAATCACCACTCATTCTGTGGAAGCAGAAATCCTTGCCCTTCCTCTCCTTGGAGACCCTAAGGCAAGTATGTCAAACTCTCGGCCCGGGGGCCGCATGCCTCGTTTATTGGGCCTGTGTTAGCCTTTGAGTTTGACATGCTTGCTCTAAGGGGACCTCAGAGTAACTGGAAGGAGAATGCATGGGTTGAATTTCACCGCTGAAATCACGTTTTGACGGAACAAGGGAAGGAGTCAACTTGCTGGGAGAGACCAGAGCCAGGGCTGATGTGAGACAGCTGGCCCCCTCCTGGTCCAGGGGGGCCCTGGGGAGCCAGCTGGGGGCAGGGGCAGGAGGCGGCTGGAAGCGGTACTTGGGGCTGATCAGCTTTTCCATCAACATGACATCATTGGACATGGCATGGACACAAGCTGCCAGGAGGCAAACCTGCAGACGTGAGAGGTGCTGTTGGGGAGGGTCCTAATCAGAACCAGCACCCTCGGGGGGGGGGGCGGGGGGCGGCTGGCTGGGCTGCCTGCAGCGGGGCACCCTCCCCCATGGCCCAGCGCCCTCACCGAGCGGGCTGATTGGCTGCTTCCGCAACGTCCCCTCCCCTTCTCAGGGGCTCCCTTTCAGACACACGTGGGGTGGGTGCCGTTGAAAACTACCAGCCACGCTCAGGGCTTCCGCATGGGCTGCACTTCTTCCTGCCACCCTGGCAGCTCCGAGACCTCCTCCCTCAGGCTGGGTTTCCATCCTTACGTCTCCTGGGGGGCTGCTTCCTTCTAGGAGAGAGAGTTTGATACGGAGGGAACTTCTGTTTGTGTAATTTAAAACGTCAAAGTAAGTTTTAAATCGAGGAGAAGCACTAAGTAGGCGATCCTTAAAGATGAAAAGCTTCCAGAATGCTGGCGCTCGGGGAGTTGGAGGATTGGGCCTGTCTGCGACCGTACGCTGGAGCATTTGAGAAGAGTCTGGCCGGTGAACGTGCCGCCATGCCCACGTGCACCTCGAGCAGGCGTGCTGTGGTCCTCGGCTCAATCTCTGAGCTGCTTCTCCCGTCCCTTGAGTCGCAGGAGGGACGGGTGGCGTCCGCGATTCTGCAGTGAGACGGGGCTCTGTGGACTGAAGTTGGGCTTTGTCAAGTGCCCAGCACAGTGCTTGGCACGTGTTGAAAGCTGAGCCCATTCCCTTTTCCTGACTTGCCCCATTTTAATTCGGATCCTTCCAGAAGCAGAGCCTGGAGTTAGGGGACTCGGGGGCACGTCGCTGATGCAGGAGGGTGACCCCAGGAAGCACCAGTAGGAAAGGGGGACAGTGAGACAGGAAGGGAAGGCAGCGGCGCCCGTCAGGGTTCCCCGGATAAACAGAACACGAGGATGCGTGGCTCTGGAAGTGGAATGCCTTCTTTTTCGGGGGAACTTTCGTCTTCTTTTGCTTTAGGTCTTCGGCTGATTAGGTGAGGCCCACCCACGTTATGGAGGGTAATCTGCTTTATTCGCTTTGTACTGATTTAAATGTTAATCTCATCAAAAAAAACAAAACACCTTTTTGGTGGCGTCCCGATTGGTCTTTGACCAAGTATCTGGGTAACTGTGGCCCAGTTGAGTGGACTCACAAGCCATCATCACAGCTGCCACACAGAAGGTGTGTGGCTGAGCACGTCACCGCCGTGGGCTGGAGGTGAATTCTACGGGGGACCCTGGGAGGGAGGGTGGAGCGCCTCTCAGAGTAACACCTCCCAAGGGACGAGGGAGCTGGGTCATGCCGTCCTGAGGGCTGCTCTGGGCACGGGAGCCCTGGGATGCCCCCGGCCTGTCCTGCACCTGGGCAGAGCCACCAGAAAGCCCTTGGGAAAGGGGGTGCAGGTGCTGGCAGGGGCAAGGCAGGCTGGACAGCGGAGACGCGGGAAAAGCCAAGAGGATGTGGGTGGGGCCCTGCTATGATCCGCTCTGTTTTCCTGTGTTCTTTTCCGCCCAGGTTTTCTCCGAGCTCAGCCAGCTCGCTGCTGGCAAGATGGGTCAAACCTGTGTTCTCTGCATGATCATCCTTCCCGAGGGAGGGTCACCACAGCACTGTCACCTGGGAGGAAGGCCAGGGAGGGGGCTGCCCAGAGGCCCCGGTTGGCAGCTGCCACCACCACAGTGGTGGTTTGCCAAGGCCTCCGGCTCCTCTTCCATCGACGACACCCACCTCTAGCTCCGATCTTGCTAAACAGAACTAGGACACTCCCTTCACTTACACTTGTCCTCTCTTACTGTGTGGCTGTTGCTCAGAGCAGTGGTGACCAGTAAAAAGGAAATTGGCCGGAGTTCAGTTCTAGATCTTTGCGCTTGTTTGGCTGTGCACTCAGAAATTCGAGGTGTGTTTTTTGCCAGCCGTATAAGAAATGCACCAAGAACCCGGGTGGGAGGAGTAGCCCGCATGGCAGACTAGGGAGGCCTAGATCCCGCCCTGAGGTGCATGGCTCTCTGGCCTGGAGCAAGTCTTGTTTGCTTTTGAGGCCTCAACTCCTCATCTGAAAAATGAGGGTTTGGACTGGATGGTCCCTAGGATTGCCCTGAACACTTGACGTTCTACGCATGCACCCCATTTTCCGCTGCTGTCGGCCAGGGAGTCGGGGTGTCTCTTGCACAGGCTCCTGTGTGTTGCTGCTGAAGTACTTTCCCACGGGCATTCTTTTCCTCTTAATAGTGTCTCCCGGATGCTCTAGGTCCCAGGTCGCTCCTGGTGACCCAGCCTTGCCGTGGACATCAGCTGTTTGCTGCAAGAAACAAGTTGGGGCAGACTGGCCCTTGCTGCCCAGGAATCCGCCAGCTTGGCCTGGCAAGACGCCTGAGATGGCAGAGGCCCAGGGAAACCATTAAATGCATCAAAAACATGCCCGGTGGCAGCTGCAGAGTGCCAGCCCAGGTCACTCTCTCTCTCTCCTGTTCCATGCCTACCCTGGTGGCTGAGCCCTGTGATGGGATTCAAAGCTGGAGCCATCCGGGTACCTGGCCTCCCAAATGTCAGTGCCCGTGGGCGTGAGGATGCCAGAGCCCAGCTTCCAAGAGATGCGGGGGGTGGGGGTGGGGCAGGGTTCCCCATTGCTCAGCAGTCTCATATGGTCACTTACGGACAGAAAGTTCCTTTTCTCTCACTTTACAAATGTCATATCCCACAAAGCAGCTAAAAATGAAGTGGAACAAAGGGGCTGACCTCTGAAACGGGGTTCTTTGGTACAGATGAGCAGTGAAATAGGCCTGTTGATACTAATGCCATATTTACCTACTAAAACACATTGTCCTATATTTTCTAACAGACTCAAATAACAGATGTGGAACGAACCTTTTGGGTTCATCCAATGGGCATTCTTTATTGTGACCATTTTTTTTAAAGTCCCAGATTGTGTCATAGCAGGCTCTGCCAGCTGGCATTACACACAGAGGGGTAAGTGATGCGTTTGGCTCTGCAGGAGGGCACCTCATACATGCCCCACGGCGGTCATGGTTTTGTTAACATGGTAGGCACTCTACAGTGTGTGATTCCCGCATGTGGCTGCCTGGGAAGAAAGCTTCAGACTGTGTGTGAGTTTCCGTGAGTGTCAGTTCTATGAGGACAGGGGGATTGGTCTGTGTGGTTCACCAGTGTGTCCCCTGTACCCCACAGTGCCTGGCACACGGTCTGTACCCAGTGGTGCACAACCCAGTGGACGGAGTGATTATAGAGCACGACCTAACGTCTGCGATATGAGTCGGAAATGAGTGGATAATTCCTCCCTTGTGTTGGGCATAGATCCCATTGCTTTGTAGAAGTCACTGTTACAGGCAGCCTGATCTTTTGAGCAGCTCCTAGTGCTATTCTGTGGGTTCGACGGGGTGTCCTCTTGGCAGGACACTGATCGCGTTGAGCACAGCGGATTGTTGACGCGGGTCTTGGTGGCTCAGTTGATAGTTCATGAGGTTTAAATCAGGGGGAGCCACGGAGTGTGATGCACAGAGGCTCGGCAGGAAGGCCGGGGCCCCTGGTCGTCTCTGGATTCTGCCAGCACCTGGCTGTATGCTTCTCGCCGAGGAGGTGTAGGCCCAGGCAACAGGCCCCTGTGCAGCGGAGGGTTAGGTGTCTGAGATGCACTTGTGATCCTGTGAGGAGGAGTGGAGCTGGCTTGACCCTGTGTGTCTGTCCTCCCTGACATTTCGACCTTATGTATTGGCAGGCCTGAATTACATTCTGACGGCGGATGTGGCGAAAAAGGAAAAGAGCCAGCTGCCCCGGGTCTACTTTGTGCTGCTGGGAGAGACCGTGGGCCAGGTCTCGGAGAAGCTGCATCTGGCGCACATGGAGGAGACGTGTCATCACTACGTGGCGCACGTGAAGGTCAGTCCTGCTTTGCATCCTCCGCCTTTGAGGTCTGCACATGTGCACGTGGGACTGTGGAAGCTGCGTTCGTTGTGCATTGAGTGTGCTCTGACGTCCAACATCGTCACGAGCAGGAGAACATTCCTTCATTCTTGTTTTAAAGTTTGAGTCTGACAGCCCTTTATTTATATTATCGTGCTGGTCTCGGTCCCCAAGGGGCGTTTTGGTGGGTGGGCCAGGAGAGCAGTCACCCTCTCTGTCTTTGACTTGTTTTTCTGGGAGGTTTCTCTTCCACTCCCCTCAAGGAGGCTCAGTAATCTTCTCAGAGGAGAGTCACAGAAGCACATGCTTCTGGGTCTGCAGTGATGCTGGATCGCACTGCACCTGATGCCCGCTCAGTGGTCCACTACGTGTTATCTCAGAGTCATGGGTAAGGCGTTTTAAAACTGGTTGGACTAGATTTTTCTCCCTTGGACTAGGTTTTTCTCCCCGGATTACTTTCTGTTTATTTTAGGAGTGCATTCTTTTGGCTTCTTTCCCCTCTCACTCTAAATAAATGCTCAAATGCTTTTCTCCTCTTGAAATTGTTTGTTAAATACACTTTGCTGCTAATTCAGGAGGCCAGCCTTTGATTAGCTACAGAGTGGGCCCTGTGTAGGCAGGCGATGGCAGGGTGGGAATCTTGGTTATGCCCAGGGCTGAGGAATGACCAGCCACTGACGCACAGGCAGAGAGCACAGGAGGTGGGAGGACCCCTGTGATCCAGGCCACATGGGAGGTGAAATGAATGTGGGCTTTGGAGTCTCACAGGCCCAGTTGGTCTCCAGTCAGATGAATACATTGACTTCTCTGTGTCTCAGTTTCTGCAACTCTAAAATGGGCACAGTAGCCCTAGCTGGTTTGGCTCAGTGGACAGAGCATCATCCTGCAGACTAAAGGGTCCTGGGTTCCATTCCGGTCAAGGGCACATTCCCCGGGTTGCGGGCTCAATCCCCAATCGGGGGCATGCAGGAGGTAGCCGATCATTGGTTTCTCATCATTGATGTTTCTCTCTCTCCTTCTCCCTTCCTCTCTGATATCAATAAAATATATTTAAATGAATAAATAAAATGGGCACAGTAATACTTACCTTGAAAGGTGGTTGTAAGAATTAAACAGTACAGGATGAATATACTTACAGAACCTTGCATTGAGCCTGAACACAGCAGATGCTAAGTAAGCATCCTTATCATTTGGTTTGGGCTATATGTAATCGCCAATATTCTAATAGTCTTAGCTTACAAAAATGGAAATTTCATGTAGTTTAACCTAATATTATTAGCGAGTGACTTTCTGACGATCTCAAAAATAGTCCACAGATTAGAGATGAAGTGTCATTCTATTATTGCCCTAAGTGCCAGAGCGGGAGAATAGCAGCTGCTTCTACATGTTTCTGAGTTGTATATAGAGAAATGGGGCACACATCCATGGCACTTGGCCTGGCCCAGAGCCCATGAGGTCCATGCCCCTAAGAGGCCTTTCATTGGGGCTGGGTTACGTCTCCTGCCAGGACTCATGCTGGGACCTGCCCAGACCCACTGCCCTAAGGACCGGGTGAAAGCCATTTATAAAACAGTTCATCCCGCCCTTAAAAGCCCTCAGGATGGATGACCCAGCAGCTGAAGGTAAGCATTATCATTTGGTTGGGCAAATGCAATAATAGAATGACACTTCACCCTTAATCTGTGGACTATTTTTGCTGTTGTCAGAAAGCCACTGGCTCATAATATTAGGTTACACTACATGGAGTTGCCATTTTTGCAAGTCAAGAAGACTGTTAGAATATTGGCAATTACATATAGCTCAATCAAATGATAATAAAGCTTAGCACCTGGTGCGTTCAGGCTCCATGCAGGGTCCTTAAAGTGTACTCATCATGTAATGTTTCATTCTTGCGACCACCTTTCAAGGTAAGTAAACGTGCCCATTTTAGAGACGCTGAAACTGAGACACAGAGGGGTCAATGTATTCATCTGACTGGACACCAAGTGGCTCTGTGAGACTCCAAAGCCCACATTCATTTCACTTACCACATGGTCTGGGTCACAGGGGTCCTTCCACCTCCGGTGCCCTCTGCCTGTGGGTCAGTGGCTGGTCATTCCTCGGCACTGGGCACTCCCAGAGCACACCCGTGCCTTTCACCCCCTGAATCCGTCCCCTCCCCCAAGGCATGTTACCTGTACCCTTCTCTCTCCCAAGCTCTAAGGGCCCTTTCTTTTGCCTCTGTAACTTGTTTCCTGAGCCCCTATCTTCCCCCGCTCACTCCTACCTCTGTGACTTTCTAAATAAGTTTTCTCTTATAAAAATAAACAAACAAAACAGTTCATGCTCCTGTTAAGCCAGCCAGCCACCTACCCCTCTAGGTGTTACTTTACTTTGGCTTGGGGGTGCGAGGCTGCTCAGCACAGCTCACATTCTAGCATGGCCTGGTCTTAGGTACTTGTGCTTGGTCTCTCTGTACTTCCTGGAGGCGGGGCATCTTCTTGGAGGCGGGGCATCTTCCCTGGGACTTCCTCCTGCTGCGTCTCCCTCACATGCTGTCCTTCAGGGCTCTGGGGCCTCTTGCTTTGGCTGAGAGATAGGGTGGCACAGAGCTGGCCAGGCCTCTGCAGAGTGCCCTCGGGGAACAGCGACCCTGAGGTGCGGGCCAGAGGCAGCCTCCCAGCGTTCCCTGAGGAAGAGCAGGGCAGCCAGAGGCCTTCCTCCTGCCGCTCCCTGACATCCAGGGCAGCCAGATTGAGCAAATAAGACTATAGGGTTTTCTGGTTAAAGCTGCATTTCAGATAAACAACAAATAATTTTTTTAGTATAAGTACATCCCAAATAGTGCATGTGATATACCTCTATTAAAATATATTTGTTGAAATAGTTACGAGGATGCCAAGTACAACACAGGGAATCAAGTCACTACTAATACTGTAACGGCTGTGTAGAGTACAAGGTGGGTACTGGCAATACCAGGGGGAACACTTTGCAAAGTATAGGACTGTCTCTAACCCTACCCTTGGAACGCATACAAAACAATACTGAATGTAAACTGTAATTGAGAAACAAAACGAAAAAAAGCTGAAATTTAATAAAATGTATCTGTCGTTTATCTGAATTCAGATTTAACTGGCCGTCCTATTGGGAGGCGCACCCTATCCATGGCCTCCCACCCCATGCGTCACACTTCTCCGTTCAGTGCAAACGTGGCTGAGGAGAGGCGAGAGTGAGAGGTGGTCCTAGAGCGTAGAGGCTGAGGCTAGGGCTCAGGCGTGCAGAGCTGGCGTCGACCTTCCTGTGATTGTCTGGGTCACGGTAGGGAACAGCAGTGAACTTGGACCTGGTGAAATGCGGATATAGTTTATTGCTTGACCATTTTTTCATGCAGGGAGATGGGGGTGGGTGGCTACATCAGAAAGGCATGAGCCCTGAGGCGTTGATGGTTCGAGGCAGCATCCTTGTTAAGCAGCACTCAAGGTGTCTGATAACTTCTCGCCACAAGGAGAGGTGTGTGAGTGTGAGTGAGTGAGTGTGTGTGTGTGTGTGTGTGTGTGTGTGTGTGTGTGAGTGTCTGTGTGTGTGTGTTTCTACTAGTATTGTCTGGGTCCTAGCAGAGGACCCTGGTCATGGCCAAGTAAGCCAGTGAGGGTGAGCGCTAATGAGCTGGCGGGCTGTCTGCGGTGTGGCCCAGCTGGCCTGGCCTGTCGTTCCTCCAGATGTGAAGAAACAGCTGTGGAGGCCAGGGCACTTGTGGGGCCGAGACAGGCAGCAAGGCTGGGGGGAGGATCACCGCCTGGCTGCCTCCGGGAGCGAGGACTGGGAGCTGGTTGTCACAGCCCGAGAGCTCGGCGCAGCCTTTGCCTCCAGTGGAGCCTGTCGGAGGGTGTAATAGACAGCGGAGGAAGATAAATAAAAGTGCTGGCTTATCGCACACCATATGGCCGGCAGACAGTGAGGCAGGCCGGGCGGGCGGGCGTGTTTTGTTTAGGCTATCTTTAGGTTCTTTTTTCTTCTTTTCTTTAAGCCTGTTCCAATCTTTTTTCCCCCCTTCCTCCTTTCCCTGGTTTTTATTCCTTATATGGTGATAAGGATCTCCATCCTAGAGGACTGCCTGGGCTAACACCTGCTTCCAGGCTCGCCGCTTGGCCTGTGTTTTGTTCTGTTTGTGCCCCTGGTGGGGCCTCCAGGACATACAGAATTTGGGGATGAGCCCCCTCCTCCTGTGGCTGCCAATTCCATTCTCAGGGCCTCCCTGTGGTCATCAACGCCGAGGCCCATCCAGTTGCTTCCTGGGCCTCTCTGCCTCACAGCCCACGTGCCTCACTTTTCCTCCTCTCCTCCCCCCAAACCAGCCCCGTGTGGGGGACAGGCCCCTTTTGGTGAGGGGGCTGGAAACCTTTGTGAATCCCCATGGTCAACAGGCCACACACCACCCGTCAGCCTCAAGGCTTTCTCTACCACGTGGCCTCAGTTTACCTTCCTAGCACCTCTGAATCACATGTGCCCTGGGCTCTGGTCCAGGTGAACTGGCCCTTTCCTCCTGGGACGTGCCCTGTGCTTCCTGCCTTGGTTCTGGGGCTTGCCCCAGTGTCTCTGGCTCTTCAGTCGTCAGAGACCCAGTGTTTTTGTTTCTGATAGGTTTGTACTGATTTCAGAGAGAGGGAGAGATAGAAACATCAATGAGAGAGAAACATCAATCAGCTGCCCCCTGCACGCCCCCTACTGGGGATCGAGCCTGCAGCCCTGGCATGTGCCCCACCCAGCTGGGAGTGGAACCATGACCTCCTGCTGCATGGGACAGTGCTCCACCAACTGAGCCACAACCGGCATATTTTTTTTTCTTTAAATCAGCTGACTTCCAGCCTCAAATAAAGTAATTTAAAACAGAAACGCTGTACCCCCCCTGTAAGCAGAAAACCAATTATCGCATGCCAAAATAGAAAGTAACTGTAAAAATAAATACGTCGAAGACACAACAACGTCATTGAACTCTA